AAAAATAAGGTAGCCAGTGAAGCCGTCAAATTGTTACGCATAATGGATGTTTTTATCGGGCGAAATGATTTCTTGACTACTGGACTTGGACTTCGACTTGGCTAGCTCTTCAACTCGGATTCGAATTCGGATATGGATTTAGATTCAGATTCAGAGTTTGGGTCTGCTTTTCTTGCTTGGCCTGGCCCTTTGTTTGGCCTCTTTGTCGGCGAACTGTTGACTTGGCTTTGATGTCAACGCTCACAGCGCGTGGCCATTGAACTTTCAGCCAAAAAATTGCATATTAATGAATTGTTTTAATAACTAAAACAGGAATGCCAAACTCACGCTTAGCAAGCTGATTAGGCCAGCTGTTGATCACATTCATATCGACGAACGATCTTGTTGTTACACATGCCATTAACACGCACAATTCGAATCATTCAACAACTCCGGCCAAGTGCCGGCTCAATGAGCAGTGAAGGTAAACAAACAAATATATTGTCCAAAAATATAAATACACAGTTATGTAGATATATGCTATATGCAGATTCTTTGGCTCCCAGAGACTGTGAATGATGTTGAAGAATGCCAGCCAAATAGAAGCAAAAAAAAACTACTCTCCAGTAGCACTTGAATTTTGAATATATGTATAATATGTAATAACTGAAGTGTCTACACAACAGAAGCGCCTCTCAGCGCGTCGCGTCGCCAGCAACTTTAGCACTTAGCTTGAAGTCTGAAGCGCGTAAAGTCGAAACAGTCAGAGTCTGCCTCAGCCTGGGTCCCGGGCTCGGTTTGGGCCTTATTTGCTTATGATAATTTGAGAGCAAACAGCGATCGACAGTGGAGCACAGGCAATGGTTGAGGAAAGGTAAATCTTGTCTCGCCATAGGTCGTGAATGTGCAGAAAAACAAAAAGCGAAACACACGATTAAACACCTCTCAATTATATACACATATGTACACATATGCACATACATCGATGCTGTGGGGTCTCCGGGTGTGCGGGCCTGCTCGAACCATTGGAAGCTGCTAAGTGGGCTGCTATGGGCCATTGTGGTCGCCTTACCACACGAAGACCCACATGATTATGATGCCTTGGTCGCTGACTTTTTACTTCTTACCTTTAACTGTCCCCGAGCGCAGCTGGTGGCTGTGAAGTTCCTCTTTTACACTGTCCATACCCTGTTCAAAATGTATGGGAATCTTGGAAATGCGTGATATCAACTCGACTACATATTAAATAATAAGCCATATATACTTATTTTATAAGATTGCCAATGTTCAGCATGAAATCATCCTCCACCTAACGCAATGTCCTTGATTTACCTGCACTTTATCCTAGGGTATCAGTCAATCGAACCCTTTCAATTATTTATATGAAATTTTTTGTTGATTGAGTCACTTAATTTGCATACAAAAGTAGATTTACATGCCAGCCAGACAGTCGAGCATCAACAAATAATCGCCGTGCTAGTCCAAGACAACGCCGATCCGTCCTCGTCATGGCTGTGTTGCTGTAACAATGGAGTATCATCAAGTGGCAGCCGTTAATAGTCGTCGTTCGGAGGCGCTAGGGGCTTGTTTGAATAACAAAATGTCGAATGTACGAGCAGCTAAAAGTTTAAATCAATAAATTTCGCAGCGGTTCACTTAAGTCCTACAATGAAAAATAATGAAATAGGGAAAAATACGGCTGGGAATTTGTTATATTTTCCATGGAAAATTACATTGGTTTCGTGTGGTATTATGCTAATTTTAATTTGAATAGCCGTGTGAGAAAAAGGCGCGTGCTCATCGCAGTTTTGTGGTTAATTTCGCAAACGCAAATTGAACGCTTCAAAGTGCAAAGTCATGCAAGAGCAAGACTTACAAAATGAAGGAAGTTCAAGAAAATTCTTATAAATGCGCATTGTTCTCAAAGCTAGTTTAAAAAAAATTTTAAATTATACATAACATTTAAAAATATGTGGGATACGCAGGATGTGGAAAGCCAGCTTCACGAACCCAACCTAAAGACAGTTCGCTTACAACATTTGAATAACTAGAGATGTGCATAAGTCGTGTTTTTCTCCGTGGCACGATGTGTTAATTTTGTGTTCGTGCTTGTGCTCTGCCTTACCTTAAAACGCGACTCCCGTCTATCTCTAGCCCCTACAGCATTATAATCTATGAAATACTGAAATATGCTACTTTTCTGTTTGGAATTCCATTTTCGTAATACTTCAAAGTATCATGTCAAGTATCATGTCTTGCATATCTGAAAGATAAGTGTGGTATGCAGGACTAAAATGAAGTGTACTCCTGGCTGAGTCAACGGCTTGGAATGCGGCAAATAAAGTACCCGGGCTACCTGTTGGGCCAGCGATACCTCCCCCGAGACAAACGGAAGTTGGCCAAAGAGCATTAGTCAAACAGCAGGCAGATATTTTTGGGCAATACCAATTAGCTTGGTGCTGACAAATTGCACAGCTATTGACGTGCTCGTCTCATGAGCTAGCCAAACTTAGACCCAGATCCGGGCAGGCAGACAGAACGACCCGAACCCATGGCTAATTGTTTGCCCAGTGCATATGGAGAGAGAGAGGAACCGGAAGCGTGCGCGACCAAATGTGAAAACACGAGGCATAAATTAACGCAGACGCACACACACATGGGTGCATGGGTGCGTAGGCTGCCCGGAACAGGGTATACGATGCAGACGGACGGCGCACGCAATTTGGGCGAAACGCCAATGCCAACAGCCAACTGCTAATAGTAAATTAATTCCTATCGCTTATCGCCGCTGGCTGCCAAAACACAAAACAAAAAACAAAGTGTATGTGTCAGCCAGCAAAGTGCTGTGTAAATTAGCTCGCAGAACTATTTATCATGCAAACCCAAGCATTTCGCAGTAATGCAGGACAGATAACAGCCAAAGCTATAGCAATGTTTAATTACCTGAGCCAGACTAACGGAAGTGCTTCTGTTTGTCCAGAGATTGGAGCTGAAATATTTATTATGTAGCATGCAAAGATATATATCCGAAAGCGAAAGTTTTCCAGTAACAATCGCACGTTGCGTATACTTAACACAAAAGTCAAAGTTCAATTAAATATCATGCTTAATTTAATTAGTTTCAACAGATGGCGAAGCATGTTGTCTCCTAAGAAAGCATATAGTATATATATATTATATATATACTCATTTACTACTCTATACACATAGACACATAAACATATACATTAACGTCTTTTATGCAACGTTGTGGTATATAACGTATAAAATTCAAACAAAGAATTTTGGCTTTTATGTACTTAATTCCAAAAGATTATATTTATATCATTACTTGTTGAAACCTTTCTGTACGATATAAAACTTTTTTCAATTAAAATAGATAGTTTTTAATATCAAACAAACAATTAAATAAATACTTTTGAAGTTCATACAGATTATGAATTAAGTTGTTATTGAAATTGATCTATTATTTAGTTGTTTTTAATATAATTTATATATTCTCAATACGGTTAAAAGATGGCGGATTCAATTAAGAGTTTAGTCATTGACTTCACTTTAAATTTGCTTGATCGTTTATATTAATTAATTATTAATTTTATTTATTATTTCATATCATGTCCCGGACAGGCTGAATGGTTATCTATTTCCCGTTTGCCGCCTTCGCACCAATGCAATCGCTTGGCCGGCAAATTTGTAGGCGACATGCGTTTCCGCGGCTTAACAAATGTTTTGTCAAGCTCAAAAAGGCCAGAACAAGAAGATACAAAAAAACAATATACTATAATCAGGCAGCTGCATCTGCAGTGCTGAGCTCGATGCCGTGTTCGAGTTTGAGTTTCAGTCCATATCGGTGCTTGGGGTACATGCGTATGCAGCCATATCAATGCCGCCGAATGACGCAGCGTCAAAACCAAAATCAAATAAATGAACAGCAAAACGGCAGCCACAGCAGCAACAACTCTAGAGAAGACAAGAGGACCACCATGATGGCAGAGGCTACAAATGGGCAAAGCATAAATAAGTATAAGAAAAAAGATGCCAAATGAAAAAAAAGGAAAAACTAAAAAACAATTTCGATCATGATGTATAATTAAAAGGCAACACCAGCACGGCACACATGCACACGAATTCAAACACACGCACACACACACACACACCAATACGTAATACAGACAGCCCCGGCGGAGCATGTGGTTGTCCGTTTCAGCTGGAGCGGCTGCTGACTGTGCAACTTCGCACTTCAAAATTAAAAACAATTAGAAAAAGCGAGAGAGCGAGAGAGAGAGGGAGGCAGCGCCAGCAATCGATCTGTTGAAGGCGGAGCTTAAACAGCCTAAAGAACTAAAAAACACATTTGCAGCTGGTGTCAATTTCAAAATGGAGGCGCCAACAGAGAGAGCGAGCGCTCAGTGACAGACAGAGATAGCTAGCTGCACTCGCTCTTTCTGCACGTGCTCTGCAATTAGGCAACCAATCAGAGCGCAGCTAAGGGCAACCTGCAAGCGGCACGACATCTGAGCAGCTGAGCAGCTGAGCAGCGCTCACAACAGATCTCGCAGGCAATGTCGATCAATGGCTCGAACTCGTCAAGCTCGTTTTCGCTCAGCGTCGGCAGCGACATTTTGTTGAACTTGTTCAGTTGAAATGCGAACTTGGCGAGCGTAAGACGCCAGCGTCGGTATATTTTTGACAGAATCCACAATACACGATCAACTCCTCAAAATCTGATTCCCAACTAGTTGTTGTTGTCATAATCAAATTAACACCCACATGCCTATGAGACATTTGCCATAACTACGCCACTTTGCCAGCTGTGATTTGCATAATTGACGCTAATCGAGAATTCGCCTCGTGGCCCTCGTGGCACAATAGAGAACTGAGAACTCATGCTGTCAGCTTTCGTTTATGTGTTTTGTTGTTATCTGTGATTGAATTGTGCCAAAATTTAAACAAATTGTTAAAGTGTGAAATACATATATATACCTACACACATATACATAAATACTACATACATATAAATCATGATCACCATGAACGAGCTCGTCGATCTGCGAATGCAGCAGCATATCGCGCACGAGATCTACCGCCATCAGATAATGCAACGCATACCAGGTGAGTCATGCTCCGACCTTACCCCCACCTCCTAAATCCCCCCCTGCACTCGTGCCATGCATCACGCACACGCCGCGTGTTTCGCCATTTTGTAATCGCCGGCGGCACCAATCGTTGCAAAAGCTGTTAAGGATCATTAGCGTTAATGGTCGCTACTTTTGGCTTTGCCGCAATTGGCGCTTTGTTGGCTTTGTAACCAGATATCAGCGGGCATTGTCGCTATTTGCGTTTTTATGACCAGCTTCCCATAAAGCTGAGTAATGGGGGAAAATCGTTTGTCGATTTTGCATAAGCAAATGAGAGAGATCACAGCAGGGCATCTCTTCTGGTAACTGATAACAAAATGCGTTTTAGCTGTTGACGCAGCTCATAACGCAGTTGGAAAATCACTTAAAAAACTATTAACATTTTAAAATCTAGACCTGATTACATACTTTATAGATCAAGTCTGAAACGAGCTTTCAAATCAAGCATACGATCTTTTAATACTTTCATCAATCAAAACCTTGGTTTATTTAGTTAATCAATGTTATTGGTAGAAGGTATTTGTCCGTTTTGCTCACCTCAAAAAGCAAAAAGAAGTCCAATTGTCATATTACACAGACTTTTCAGAATGAGATTGATTGACGGAATAAATGAGGTCTTCTAAAATTTGCGCACGCGTATTCGTTATATTAAAATGCATGAAACTTTTGCCTTAAACTAATTGAAATATTATCTGTCGTAAGATAATTCACGCCAAAATATAATTGCTAACATATATACAAATGAAACTATCTAAATGAAACTATCTTTTCCAAAATAATTAATTTGGCTTACGACTCGAACCAAATCCCTGTTTAGCTTGTGAACTTGGTTTTCCATACGCATAATCCCAGATTTTGATTCAAACATTGGATGGTTATATTCTATTTTCAATTTTTTAATGTAACAATTCAATTTTTATTGGCTGAACATATAGCATGATATAGATTTTCTTTAGAAGTTGCTGCCTAATTTTGATCCCTTACTAAACTTGCCACCTTCCAAATATATTAATTTCTCAATTCACAGCCTACATACAGCCGTGAATTCAAGTAATCCTAATATTTATGTTCACTCTCAATGTAGATCCATTTCCACCAATGCTGCCCATTCCGATGCCACGTCACGTGATAATGCCACCCCGTGTCGCGTTGCCCGGCGTGGAGATGACTCTGCAAAATGACGAGCTCTGGAAGCAATTCCATCAGATTGGCACGGAAATGATCATCACAAAGAGCGGCAGGTAAGATGTCAAATCTAAATCAATCGTCATATAAAAATGCTCGCCAAACCAAACGCAACAAAATGTTTTTGAACATTTTTGGAAAGTAAAATTATGTCGCGCCCACAACAACTTTTGAAATGTAATGAAGCAGGGCCTTGGGTGTTAGGAACGGGCAAAGAGCAATGCATTAGCACGAATGTGAAAAACAATACCCAAAAACGCTGGGCAAAGAAAAACAACAACATGCCAATGGCATGGGCACTTAAAGCGCCGCCTCTGGCGCTGCTGGCCAGCGATGGAATCGGCTCTTAGCTCTCATCAGTCAGCACTTAGCCTCAGCTTCATTCCCGGCCTCAACGTCGTTTTCGTTGCCGTCGCCTTCGTCGTCGTCGTCGTCATCGTCATCGACGTCGGCGGCACTGTTAAATGCTCATTAGATGTAGGCGCCTGCGAAATTGTTTACAGGGACGTCGCGACAACAATTTTCACAGGCAAACAAAGCGGCGGAAGGATGCAGGATGTGAAATCTGTGGCCAGGTATATACAGGCTGTACAGGCTGCCAGCACGATTCTTGATTCGTGCAATCGGGGCTTGTAAGGAATGCCCGGACCGAATATCTCGCGCGAGGCGTAAAGCGAACAAGTTCACTGGCACTTTGCGTGTGCAGCGTTCTTCTTGTCGTGATGGAAACTGAGCATGAGCATATCAAAGCGCTAGCGCAATCGCCCAAAGATATTGTATCTTGTATCTGTGGCAGTTACGTGAGCGCTCAGCAGCGATCGGCAGTAAACTACCTAAAAGTGTCCGGCACTTGCTCAAATGTGCGTAAAGTGGCGTCATCGTAATTTATTGTAGGCCTAGTATGGACAGAGAACGCAGTGGGACGTCCTTTTGGTCGGCGTTTTTAAGAGAGATGCGTCTTGGATTGACCTGCTGCTGCCCCTAATGCCTCGGATGCCCCTGATGCTGCTGCTGCTGTGGCATAAATCTTTGCGTCAAGGATACTTTGTCGTCATCTTTGTTGCGCTCTGCGTTTTTATTGTGGCGCCTGTCTGCAGACGGCCTCAGATACACTCGCATTCGAATTTGTATTCGTATTCGTATTCGTATTCAATTTCGTATCTGTATCTGCACGTTGCGCGTTGACAATGACCACAGCCTGTCGACAACGTCGACAGATACGAGCAATTTCACACTTTTGCCGGCAAGATGCACAAGTGCCGATAAGATCGGATACGAATACAGGGGAGAAGAATTCAGAATCGCTTCTGCTGCATTAACATAAACTTTTGGGACTGCCCCATCGCCGAAAACAGTTTGGACAGACAACTCTTTCTTCTTTGAGAAAGAGAATGTAGTATGTATATGCCATGAATTATTCATAAAGTCTCCGTATTAAATAGTTTTTATGCTCATCAAAAATGTTTTATGTGAAACACAGCCAGACAATGATGGCGTCTCTGCAGCCCTTGTGCATTCAATCGATTTGAATTTTTAATGATTAGGCGCCACAGTGCCACCGTGTGCTGTGTTGTGCTGTGCTGTAGCATCCAATGCAATGCTCAACGCCAAGTGGCGCTCATAAAAACTAATTAGTTGCTTGTCCCAACGGTCCCATGACTTTGCCCAAGTCAAAAACTTCAAGATTGCATCGCATTTCGGTTCGCTTTGGGATCGCATGGGTGGCAAATGGCCAGACGATCATAAAAGATAGATAGAACAAAGCGTATTACATATAATGCATGAGTTTTTAAAAATGAAATGAGTCTGTCACGAAGCTTTTAGTGCCGACACGCTGATAGCAAAGGCCATGAGAATCGCTGGGAGAGGACCAACACGAGAAACGTAATTTAAATCTGGCTCACAGCGTAATACAGGTGAATCACTTTGAAGCGCCAGAACTGACACTTCGGGAACTATCCGCAAGAAAGGAATAAACGAAATGTTCACCTTTGAGAACAAGAAGATACCCAAAAATTGATATATTGTAATTGTTGCACACTAGATTAATACAGCTACCATTAATAAATCGAAAACAATAGTTGAAGTTCGCTTGAATGAAAATACTTAATGGGATGCAAAAGATTAGCATTGCTGTGCTTTTATATATAAGTTTTATAAGCAGATATATTATTATTTAGTACTTTAGATATTTATTGCGTAAATACACGTTCGCGGATTAACGAACTACAGGGTATAACATACACTCAATCAGTTTCAACTGCACCTGTTTGGGTGCAACCAAACTAAAATGCTCAAGATGTTTTTTTTTTCTTGACGTCTACCACAATTCCTGCACAGATCCTCGCATTTGTTAATTATGCGCAGACGCGCCAAAGATCAATATCTTAACAAATCGTTTGTCAAAAATGCACGAGCAACTCTTGGAAAGAATGAAAAAGAAACAAACAGAACAAGAAAATGAAAGAAGGCAAATTGAAAACGAAATTCTAAACCGCACGAATGTCGAAATATTTGGCCAAGCGTCGCAGTTACCCCTGCTGCGATCTAATGAAATTCAAAAACAAAAATAACAAACCAGAAAGGGAATCAAATTAAATGTAGGCAAACGAACCACAGCCGAGCTAAATTAATTAATCATCGCTCAGAGTGCACAGCCCAAAAAGGCAGTAAAAGTAAAAAATCATTGCCAACAATTAAGGTTGATCTAGTCGGGAGTCTCCGACTAGAGGATGCCCTGAATATATCCCAAAAGGATTAGACTAGGACTATTAAATATAAATAAATAATAATAAAAAACAGAAGCTGATGTGTCCTACGCGTGCGAAGATAATTGATTTGTGCATATTGAACTAATCCCGCAGATATATATAGCCTTAGATCTGCGGAATTAATAATAATACAATTATTTCGTGCACAGCTATATACTTAGTTTTAGATCAGCAGAATTATGTCTTTTCAAAACGACATAACTCTGTCGTTGACCACCGCCAAATTATGTGGAGTTATTTTCTTTACCGATTGGCATCAAGAAAACGAATATCTACATTTTGACCCAAATCGTCCAAAAAGCAAGGGGTTACATCACGTTTTTTGTCAAAATCGGGGTCGGATCGAAAATCAAAACTTTTTTCATGATTTTTTTTTTATATCTCGGCCAAAAAATGTCCGATTTAATAATTTTATACCTTTTTGAATTCGTACGGATCCCTATTATCAATTGGCATTTTAAGTAATTAAAAATCGATGGGTTAAAAAAAGTTGTTGACCAAAAAACGATTCGTTTGTAAAGTCAACCTTTTTTGATGATTTTTTTGAATGTCTCGGCCAAATAATGTCCGATTTTAGAATTTTATACCATTTATAACTCGTAAGGACCAGTACTATCGATTGGCATCAAGATATCGAATATTTACATTTTTACCCGAATCGACCAAAAAGCAAGGGGTTACATCACGTTTTTTGTCAAAATCGAGGTCGGATCGAAAATCAAAACTTTTTTCATGATTTTTTTTTTATATCTCGGCCAAAAAATGTCCGATTTAATAATTGTATACCTTATTGAATTCATACGGATCCCTATTATCAATTGGCATTCCAAGAAATTCAAAATCGATGGGTTAAAAAAAGTTGTTGACCAAAAAACGATTCGTTTGTAAAGTCAACCTGTTTTGATGATTTTTTGGCCAATTAATGTCCGATTTTAGAATTTTATACCATTTTTAACTCGTAAGGATCAGTACTATCGATTGGCATCAAAATATCGAATATCTACATTTTGACCCAAATCGACCAAAAAGCAAGGGGTTACATCACGTTTTTTGTCAAAATCGGGGTCGGATCGAAAATCAAAACTTTTTTCATGATTTTATTTTTATATCTCGGCCAAAAAATGTCCGATTTAATAATATATACAAGATATCGAATATCTACATTTTGACCCAAATCGACCAAAAAGCAAGGGGTTACATCACGTTTTTTGTCAAAATCGGGGTCGGATCGAAAATCAAAACTTTTTTCATGATTTTTTTCTTATATCTCGGCCAAAAAATGTCCGATTTAATAATTTTATACCTTTTTGAATTCGTACGGATCCCTATTATTAATTGGCATTCTAAAAAATTAAAAATCGATGGGTTAAAAAAATTTGTTGACCAAAAAACGATTCGTTTGTAAAGTCAACCTGTTTTGATGATTTTTTGGCATATCTCGGCCAAATAATGTCCGATTTTAGAATTTTATACCATTTATAACTCGTAAGGATCAGTACTATCGAATGGCATCAAGATATCGAATATCTACATTTTGACCCAAATCGACCAAAAAGCAAGGGGTTACATCACGTTTTTTGTCAAAATCGGGGTCGGATCGAAAATCAAAACTTTTTTCATGATTTTTTTTTTTTTATCTCGGCCAAAATATGTGCGATTTTATAATTTTATACCTTTTTGAATTCGTACGGATCCCTATTATCAATTGGCATTCTAAGAAATTCAAAATCGATGGGTTAAAAAAATTTGTTGACCAAAAAACGATTCGTTTGTAAAGTCAACCTTTTTGATGATTTTTTGGCATATCTCGGCCAAATAATGTCCGATTTTAGAATTTTATACCATTTATAACTCGTAAGGATCAGTACTATCGATTGGCATCAAGATATCGAATATCTACAAAGCAAGGGGTTACATCACGTTTTTTGTCAAAAACGGGGTCGGATCGAAAATCAAATCTTTTTTCATGATTTTATTTTTATATCTCGGCCAAAATATGTGCGATTTTATAATTTTATATCTTTTTGAATTCATACGGATCACTATTATCAATTGGCATTCCAAGAAATTAAAAATCGATGGGTTAAAAAATGTTGTTGACCAAAAAACGATTCGTTTGTAAAGTCAACCTTTTTTGATGATTTTTTGGCATATCTCGGCCAAATAATGTCAGATTTTAGAATTTTATACCATTTTTAACTCGTAAGGATCAGTACTATCGATTGGCATCAAGACATCGAATATCTACATTTTGACCCAAATCGACCAAAAAGCAAGGGGTTACATCACGTTTTTTGTCAAAAACGGGGTCGGATCGAAAATCAAATCTTTTTTCATGATTTTATTTTTATATCTCGGCCAAAATATGTGCGATTTTATAATTTTATACCTTTTTGAATTCGTACGGATCCCTATTATCAATTGGCATTCTAAGAAATTCAAAATCGATGGGTTAAAAAAAGTTGTTGACCAAAAAACGATTCGTTTGTAAAGTCAACCTGTTTTGATGATTTTTTGGCATATCTCGGCCAAATAATGTCAGATTTTAGAATTTTATACCATTTATAACTCGTAAGGATCAGTACTATCGATTGGCATCAAGATATCGAATATCTACATTTTGGCCCAAATCGACCAAAAAGCAAGGGGTTACATCACATTTTTTGTCAAAATCGGGGTCGGATCGAAAATCAAAACTTTTTTCATGATTTTTTTTTTTAATATCTCGGCCAAAAAATGTCCGATTTAATAATTTTATACCTTTTTGAATTCGTACGGATCCCTATTATCAATTGGCATTCTAAGAAATTCAAAATCGATGGGTTAAAAAAAGTTGTTGACCAAAAAACGATTCGTTTGTAAAGTCAACCTGTTTTGATGATTTTTTGGCATATCTCGGCCAAATAATGTCAGATTTTAGAATTTTATACCTTTTTGAATTCGTACGGATCCCTATTATCAATTGGCATTCCAAGAAATTAAAAATCGATGGGTTAAAAAAGTTGTTGACCAAAAAACGATTCGTTTGTAAAGTCAACCTGTTTTGATGATTTTTTGGCATATCTCGGCCAAATAATGTCAGATTTTAGAATTTTATACCTTTTTGAATTCGTACGGATCCCTATTATCAATTGGCATTCCAAGAAATTAAAAATCGATGGGTTAAAAAAGTTGTTGACCAAAAAACGATTCGTTTGTAAAGTCAACCTATTTTGATGATTTTTTGGCACATCTCGGCCAAATAATGTCCGATTTTAGAATTTTATACCATTTAAAAAAATCAACATACAAACTTGCTTGTTTCCTTTAACCTGTTACATACATTTGCACAAATCTCTTATACTCTTCAGGGTATATAATCGAAATAAAAATAAATTTATAAAAGCAGTATCACAGACTCTAAACATGCCGAAGCAGAGCCAGAGACGCACTCGGAGGTGAGCAAACATTGGAAGGCTGGCGCCAAGCGCGCTGGCCACCTGCTGCGCCTCTGTGGTAGGGTCTCGGTCTCTGTTCTGCGTACTGCGATCAGCGCGCTTCGGTCCTTGTTAGCACAGCATACAAAAACTAGGGTCTGGCCTTTATTTGATGTTTTCTTATTCCTTTTTTTTTGTGCGTTTTCTAGGCTAATTACATGGCCCACGAGCAACTCACAATTAAATATTTGTAACGCCCACGTTTCTAACAAGGATTCATCTTTTCCATTTCGTTTTTCTTAAATGTGGCCTCCAACTTGTTGACTTTATTTGAACTTAATCCATTTTTTGTCTCTCTCTCTCTCTCTCTCTCTCTCTCTCTCTCTCTCTCTCTCTTTCTCTCTCTAATTGCAGACGCATGTTTCCCTCGATGCGCCTGAGCGTTTCAGGCCTGGAGGACGAGACAAACTATTGCGTCCTGCTGGAAATGGTGCCCATTGGCGACTGCCGCTACAAATTCTCCGGCTCGCAATGGGTGCCAGCTGGTGGCGCCGAGCCGCAGAGTCCACAGCGCATGTACCTCCATCCGGACAGTCCAGCAACAGGCGCACACTGGCAGGCCCAGCCCATACTCTTCAACAAGGTGAAGCTGACCAACAATACGCTGGACAATAGCGGGCATGTAAGTAATTGGAGAGCCCGAACCCATAATCAATGAGCTCATTTGTGCTCCCTTTCGCAGATTGTGCTGGCCAGCATGCACAAGTATCAGCCCCGTTTGCATGTCATACGCACCGCTGATCTGGCGCAGATACCCTGGGCGCCGCAGCAGGCTTTTGTGTTTGCCGAGACGGAGTTTGTGGCAGTGACAGCGTACCAGGTAAGTTCCACGCAACAAAACCCAGTGCACAGATTTGATTTTGCCAATTCATTGAGCTGGGCACACTAATTGGTTAATTTCGGCAACGATCGCTCACGCCGTGGGTAGCCTGACCAACGTCTCAAATTAGCATGCAACGCCCTTTGTCTACGAATGCTTGTTGTTATTTTGGGAAGTTGGATAGCCACATCCTTGTGCCACTCGCTGTGTTTTTGTCTATGTCTGGGCTCATTGACAGCGACACCAGGTCGCCAGGCCGTCAGTCGTCAGTCGTCAGTCTGGCTCTAATTAGCCTGATCGCTTCCACAAGATCATCTTCACAAAGTTGTCAAGTCATGACAGAGCGACAACGACTCCAAGGCTCAAGTGTATAACTCCCGGGGCTGCGGTGTCAAGTGGCCCTGTTACTTAACGCCAGCTACTGGACGCTGGTTAAAGATTATGCGACTGCGTCTGCGTCTGTCTCTGGCAATTGTCATATTTCATACAATTTACAACTGCAAATACAACTGCTGTAACATTGACTCTTTATTTCTGTTTTTTCACAGAATGATCGCATCACGAAGCTAAAAATCGACAACAATCCGTTTGCGAAGGGCTTCCGCGAAACGGGACAATCGCGCTGCAAACGCAAAATGTCTTCATCGCCAACCGATGACGATCAAGATCTGCCCCAGACGCATTTGCAGTCCCCTGGCTCGCTTGACATGTCGCCAGGCAAATCCACATCGACAGCAGCAGAAGCAGCAGCAACAACCTCGAACAACAGCGAACAGGATGGGCCGCAAATTAAGCGCCTGAGATCAAATGGTTCCGCCTGTTCGTTATCGTCATCACTGGATGGCGCTGAGCCTGTGCCTGTGCCTGTAGCTGTGCCTGGGCCTGGGCCTGGCGCCATCTCAATGGGTTCGCCCCCCGGCGCCACCACATTCATGCAGCACTTTCAGCAGAACATGCAGACGCTGCTGCGACCCTCGCTGGTCGACCTGGCCTGCACCTACTTTGGCCGTCCCGCACATGAGTACAATGGAGCGACGCCGGCGTCGCATTTGTATCCGCCAGCGTCCATTTTGCAAGCCGCACTGCCACCACTTCCGGCGCTTACCCTGCCGCACAACATTTCCGTTCAGCAAACCGATGAATCGACAACTGATGAAGCGGAGCTAGATGTTGGCAGCGAGACGACGACAACAACGACAGCAACATCACATTCACCCCCGGAGCAGCTCCCGGCGCCCGAGGCACCCGCCAGGCGCAAAGGCTTCAGCATATCAGCCATCCTGGGCGGCGGCAGCTAGTTGCCACAGATACTCAAGACTCTGTAGCTAATGCCTTTGATATTAAATATTGTAGTATTTAAGCTGAATTTCGCCTGATTAATAAATAAGCTAGCATTAAGTTTGCGTAAATAAACGTTACTTTCTATTTGAATAGAAAACTGTTTGATCTACTGACTGATTGATTGACTGATTGATTGACTGATAAATTGACTTATTGGTGGTCAACGCACAGCGCAAGCCATAAGGGCCAGAATGTAGGGTGAACTGATATGATAGGTAATGCCTGCAAAGACAATATAAATACTAAGATGAGTAAGAGGCCCATACATTTGCATTCTAGCCTGGCTAGAATGGCTGTCCCTTTCCTCAAAGCCAGACGAACAAATGCCAAAGTCTTGATGATTTGTTCATATTGTCTTTGATGCCTGACTCTATTTACATATGCAAATCTTTTGTGCACTATTTAGCAGCAGGACTTCATTTTTCATATATTATGGTACAGTGAGATATATAAATCTGCCGTTCTAGGCGCCTTTTATATTATTACCCTACCCAATTTCCCAGCTCTTATTTAGGACAGACAAATACATCGCCCAGATACCTTTTGCTAATTGGCAGATCTAAAGGATACTTCAAAGCCATCACGCCCACACACTTTGCTGTAGGTAAATGAACATGTTGCAGCCAGTTGGCATTTTATCATTGGACCAGCATCTACCAGCAGCGAGCAGACGCAACTCAAATCACAACTTCCGCTTAACATTAATCCCAACCAATTTACAAGATAAACGCTAGAATTTCAACAACATCATCAGCCGACGAAGATGACGCCGCTGGTGCAGCATCCATTAGCCACACTGCAGCAACTGAGACTGCGACGGCGACTGCGTCAGCGACTGCGACTGGCCAGAACATAATTTGTTTGCAATTAAATAGCTCGACAAGGCATGAAATTCGGTTGCAGCCCAACGGAGGCAACAGTTGCACAGGGAGAATACTCCGGAGACCCATAATGGCTAAAGATGTTTATGAAATGGGCAGAGACTGAAACGAAGAGCGGCGGCAACAGCAGCCAAAAAACACAAAAAATACAAAAAAAAAACATACACAATTCGTTATGTAAGCTGAAGTTGCTTGTTGTTGGGTTTCCCTAGTTCATTTCGTCGGCAGAGAATGTAGCCAATGATGAAGTTTACGATGACATGCGTCACCACCCACGTCTGCAGCCAAAACGAGGACGTTGCGACGTCGCGCCGAGGGAGGCGTGTGCAGACGTAGTCTTTGGCCGGAGCAGGGCCAAGAAAAAACAAACAACAATTTCAATTTACCACAAAATCGATTTCTAAATTGTACTCGCCAGGGACTAGGAGCTGCGGACTGCGGTTTTATAGCGCACAGAACGGGTGACAGATGTCGTTCTGGCTGTCGACGGCGCTGTATTGACAGGCGCAAGGTTGTAAGTGCATTGAATGCCTCATTAAATAGCTACAAATGCGTCTGGCAGATGTCGCAGGTTGTGTGCAGCGTGTGTGCGTAATTAATGCATTTTGCTGTTGCATTTTACGGCTCAACATTTGTGTTGTTGCTTTCTGTGTTTGCCCCCTGAAATTAGATACACTTTGTCTTGCAACCAATTGTTGTTGTGTAAACACAAAATGGGGAGCAACCCGAACAATAACGCAGCCATTACCATTTCCTAACCGAACGTTAATTACTTGACAACAACAAAAACAAGTGCTAATGTATGACAAACGTTTTACGCGTGGCACCAGCTTCGTGAAAATGGCTGTCAATTCAAATTGCGCGCCACTTGACAGCAAGAACTGCAAGCCCGCCATTTGCACTGCTTGTTATTGTAGAGAGAAAAGTGGAGAGAAAGAAACAGCAAGAAAACTGTAGGCATGCTGCCTGCCCTCTCAGTTTTCTATGTTTGATTCGCTGAAAGGATTTGCAGACTGCATTATTCTCTTGCTGGAAATAAACATATTTGGAAGCCAGAAGAATGCAACAAAGCCAGACATAAGTTCTTCTCAGCGTCGTGTGTCGCCGGTGCCAAGCCATAAAACTGAAAATGCTCATAATCTATATCTCTCCCTTCTTCTTGCTCAAGCGCAGTCCTAAGCCGTGGTTTTAAACTAGAGCGCAGCCAAACCCACTTAGAATCCTACCAAGCAATTTATGCAAATGGATTCAGCTGTGGGCCCGGGTCCGAGGCCGGGGATGGAACAATTAACAAAGCGTGTAATTTTTCATTCTTAGCGTGTGAACAATGGCACAAACAATTGCCGGATAGCAAAAATCCACCCACACATGCAGGCAGGCGGCTGGCCCGACCCACGCGAACTGTGCATCATTTTTACAAATCCATGAGAACAATTAAAACTAACAACAACAATAATGGCCGCTGTCAAGTGCGTGTCCTGCACTCGATCGTTGTCCGCATTGTCAATGCCTTTTGTTTACAAGCCTATTGAGTGCAAACTACAACAGTATTTAAGTTCTCTATATAATTTGCATATTATTCCTTTGTCCGAACACTTTACCTTCTACCTGACTCGGGCGTTTGAAAACTAACCACATACATACATATACAGACGTACACATTTATGAACATATTTACAACAACATCGCTCTCCAATTAGCTTATCGATAATTCACGAGTATCGAAATATCGATAACGCAGATGAAAGTTCAGCTTTTCTCACGTGATAAAGCTGTGAATGAAATATAATGTAGTTCGATATTATAAAATATACTTATTCTGATTAAAAAAATAATTAATTTAAAAATACGGTTGCATTCCCTTCTAATGCTTCTTAAGGAAATAGCTCGGAGGATGACGTTTCACATGAATAAATCTTATAAAATCTTTATCATACATTGTCTTAGCTTATCCTTATTTATTAAGACTTCTAGATAATCAAGTTTGTGAATAAAATTTATTTGGCATATTATTTGCATAATTGTTATTTTGTTTTCTTATCATGTTGGTCTTTCTCCCTCGATCTTTCTCGATCTAATAATCGAAAGGTGACACACTGGTCAAGGTCAATTAATCATTAAAAGGGCTCCATCACATTTTTAGTCACGCACCCATCTCTACTATTTAATGCCTTCTACTTTGAAACACTTTGCTAGTGTGGACAGAAAATCACAAAATGAGTTTGAATAACAAAGTTCCAGATTTGTTTTGTGCTGAAATTGATGATGACAACGACTCTTTTCACTCCTTCGCTCAAAGCAGTATCGAACCATCTGAGTTGGGATCTCTTTCCGACATAGACGATGGCCCCGAAGATTCAAATTCAGATTCCTCTGCTGAGTTTGAGTTAAATAAAAATGCTGTCAAGATTGTAAGTGCATATCGCATCCATTTCAATCATAATATTTATCTAATCACTTTTGCACGTTTTTGCATCAAACAGAACCCAAATCTTCGTGTTGATTGCCAGACTTCTGAGGCGCTTGCCACAAGTAGCTCCAGTGCCAGCGCTTCGGTGGCAAAACCGATCCAATATGAATCACCAAAAGTGACTCCTTCGCGAACCCCAATGTGCCATCATATGGTGCCGAAGTTAGCAGGCAATTCACAGATGCCCGATATAGATCTCTTCAACATGGACGCATCTTCTTCAGTCAACCTGATAAAGAAGGATGTCCTCGATATAAGTCCCAATACGGAGGCATTGCAAAGGTTTGCCTTCACGGAAATTTGGATTGAAGAGCAGCAAAACTATCCGGAACGTAAACGTTCGCTTACACGCGAATTTACGGCTGCTTTAGATGACTACTTTCATACAAAAAATAACGATCAATTTGAAAGTATTTCGCTAGAGGAGCAACAGAAAGGCAAACTTTACAAGCAGCTCTTTGTGGCCCGAAACAAGGTAAATCCACCAAAAGTTTCCTTATTCCTTAAATATGCCATAATCCTTATTTCAACAGTCGAGTAGCGGCCAAACAGCTAGCTTCCAGACTACTCCCGAAAGCAAGCCGTACGTTTCGCCCTTTGAGGATATGCCAGTTGTGCCTGAGGAGAGTATTTTGCCTGGCCAAAAACCGCACATTGTTGTACCGGCTGGCTACGATTTAACCAATCTGTGGGAGTACAAGAATCCCAATCACTGGCATCGACGCCACACCACCTTCAATGATTATCATCCCTAGCAGCAATCTCTGCAAGCAGAGAGTTGCATATCAGTTAAGTCACGTTGAAGCTTATATACTTATTGTGTTCTAACTATTGACGCATTAATAAAATTCTGGTTTCAGAAAGTTCTGAAATAATTAAAGACTGCAAAAGGTCGGACCTTTGACAAAACTGAAGCAAGTTGGATATGCAATGATACAATTAGTCATTTTTTTATTCTTTTTTTTTTTGTCACTAACAGGTTAAAGCGTAGAGGACAACATCTGTGATTAAATAAAAATATTATTTTAAAGCTCAAGTTTCAGCCAGATCCCGTGCGATCGTGAGTGTATATTGCATCCTGCGTGGCATGAAAAGCACGGACAAGTTGCAACATAACGTCTACTGCTGGCGCCCATCTCTACTCTAAATGATTTCATTGCGCTGCCGATAAAATTGTCGCCAGCGAAATGTCCACGACTTTGATTTTGTCCGCCATAACATTAATTTCCAACGAAATTACATACACACAAGAGAGGCGAAGGCTGAGACGGAGAGAGCGCAACAACAACTGCAATCACAACAACAAACAATAAAAGCAGGAGCATATGCATAGCAAACACAAGGCCTGGGACAAAAAGTTCGCTTATCTGCCGCCGAAAGACCAGAGCCCGGAACGGCGCTCATTCGACTTTGACATGCGAACGTTTTTGAACCTGCGCCTAGCTCTGGTTTGTGGAGCACTCTGGCTGCTGCTCCTAAATGAGAATTCAATAAATTTTAGCAAATAACCCGAAGAAACGGCTACAACAACACAATAGCCGTTTGGCGTCGTTAGTCTTTTTGGCGACGTTTAACATGAATATGCAGTGTGGCTAATGTGGAGCCCATAAACACTTCCAGCGGCAACATGAATGGGACTACAAGCCCACAGCCGACAGGCAACAGATGTCCCCACCGAGAAGAAAACAGGTTGTTGCTACGTGTGCGGCGAGCATGGAGCTGTCGACGGAGCACAAAGTTGGGGAATCAGCCGCTTAACAATTGTTTCTTAACGCGATTTGAAATGAAATGCCACCGTCGAAGATTTGCAATTTAGGCAATAGCCGTGTCCCGCTCCGGCTACCGCTTGGCCAACTCTGGTGGCCACTCAAAGATGCCGCCGCATTTCCGTTGGCCAGCGCAACAAGTTGCATGTGTGAGGCTTTGACTGAAACAATTTTGCATGTAAATGGCAAACAACTACAACGTGAAAACATCAATTACATTTGCTCTTGCCTTGCAACGAACTGCTGGCCAGGATTACCTGGCGATCGTCGCGCTCAATCAGCGCACTGGCGCTGGCGCCAGCATTTAAGATGCGGCGCTCTCTGATCTGCTGATAAGCCCATGTCGTCGGCATTGTAGTTGTTGTTCGTCGACGAACCCAAGCGGAGCATATGAACGGGAGAGCGCATTGTGGGACTCTGCGAACCACGGTGAGTTCGAGTTGGAGCTGGAACTGGTTTTTATGACTAACATGCGAAAGATAGGAGACGCACTTATGCATACAAAAATGTGAGCAAAATGGAAGCACAGAAAAAATGTTTAAAAACTAAATGAAAACTCAGCTAAATCTAAATTAATGCCTCAGGTCAAGAGAGATTATGTGACTGCAGATAATAGTCTTACAAGAAAACACTCCACGCCGAAGATTTAATACATATTGCCTGGAAAGATTTATACAAAAACGTTACTTCTAACTATTTATTCCAATGCACATGGTCTTTTGATCATGGAAGGAAATACCACGATTAGTTATAATAATCTTTTGAAAAACAAAGAAGATTTTCTTTTTACCACTTAACTAAGGCAGATTCTCACATATGTTTACGAAATTTTACACTGGACTACAAAGAATATATGCATAACGATGTCTCGAGTTTACGCATTGCTAAGTTATATAAATTGATAACCCAACCTAGGCAGAGTACATAGGAAGCGTCAACCAAGTTCAGTATATTAACTTTCAGTATAAATTAAGTGAAAGCTTTCTTCTAATAATGTTGTATATTGCCCGAAACTGCATTTGAGAAAAGCTCTACAATTATATTTAGCAACGATTTCAGGTATTCCATGATGTTTTAATGCAGTCATAAGAAAATGGATAGCTGAAATTCTTCTAAAAAATCTTTATTTGCGCGCATTAAAATGCCAAAGACAATAAATCCATTACGAAATCATTTAAACAATTAAAATTGCATAATAAATACTTAGGATAAATACTGATGGTAAATACCTGGAAATCTTAATTAACTGCAAAATATCACAATTTAACTTACTGACTACGCCGCAGACGACGCTGGCAACTAAACGCTAATTAAATGTATAAGGCACTTAGGAGCAACAACTGAAATGGGAGCAGCAACTGCTGCCCCGCACGGCAGCTAAATCGAGACGCTCGTTCCTAATATGTCCAAGATGCTGAAGCTGCTGCGCTTGGGCTTTGGCAAAACGGCAGCTGCTGCGGCAGCTTTGGCAATAACAGCGATTCGGCTAATCGATTCGGGTTCCAGGTCGGGCTCAGCTGTGCTGGTCGTGGTGCCCACAACGTCTACAAAGGTATCGGTCTCTGGCTCCGCGGCTGAGTCGCAGCTGGAGGAGGCGCACGATGAGTCGGGCGATGGCGGCGAGTGCGCCCAACTTGGATAGCTGGCGATGTGTCTGGCATATTGAATGGATGCCAGGCCCGGCGGTGGCGCTGACAGAAAGAGATTGGCCTCAAGTGTATCCAGCAGATAATGGCGCGGCACTAGTAGACCAGAGGGCTGCTGGTGCGGCATGGACAGCTCATCGGTCAGACGCATGCGTTTACCCGACGGCGAAAATGTGCGTTCCATATCGCTGGCAGTTCGTGTTCCTTCTGTGCTTGCCTGAGCAGTTGCAGGAGGAGACTCGCTAAGCTTGCGCTTGCAGCGCGATTGACCCGACTCACGAAAGCCCTTGGCAAAGGGATTGTTGTCGATCTTCAGCTTCGTGATGCGATCATTCTGCAATGTGGAAAGGAAACATGAGTAACTGAGCACTTGGTCGATCGGGGCTTAGATCACACACCTGATAGGCAGTCACAGCTATAAACTCCGTTTCGGGAAAGACGTAGGCCTGCTGTGGAGCCCAGGGTATCTGCGTCAGGTCAGCGGTGCGTATGACGTGCAAACGGGGCTGATACTTGTGCATGCTGGCCAAGACAATCTATGGGAGATAAGCAGATAGTTTCTGATAAGTGACTGTGGAGCGTTTCAATTGGGAGACTACACCTACATGTCCATTGTTGTCCAGCGTATTGTTGGTAAGCTTTACTTTGCTGAAGAGCATCGCCTGTGACTGCCAGTGCTTGCCCGTCGCCGGACTATCCGGGTGCAGAAACATGCGCTGCGGACTCTGCGGCTCGGCACCGCCAGCTGGCACCCACTGTGAGCCGGAGAACTTGTAGCGGCAGTCGCCAATGGGCACCATTTCCAGCAGCACGCAATAGCTGGCCTCCTCCTCCAGGCCGCTCAGCGATACGCGCATCGAGGGAAACATGCGTCTGGATAAAGTGAGGCAATCATAATGGCGGTTACTAACATGCTATGTGATCTCATTCTATGCCTTATCGCAGCCTGCGTGCCATACTTATGAGTATGAGATAAGCTGGCTGACACAGATAGACTAAGCAAATGATGGCCCCTACATACCTTCCACTCTTTGTGATGATCATTTCGGTGCCAATGTGATGGAACTGCTGCCACAATTCATTGTTCTCCAGCTTAGCCTCCACGCCCGGCAGTGAGGGTTGCATCGGTGCTGGTGGTGCCACAAAATGTGTGCCGAAATTGGGCAATAAGCCGCACAGTGGATCTACAAGAGATGCAAGCGACGTTATAGCCGACGGCAAAGCATAGATAACACTCAATTATACTTCATACCTGGCAGGCGTTGCATAATTTGCTGGCGATAAATCTCGTGGGCGATCTGCTGCTGCATGCGCAGATCGGCAATGTTCGGCAGTGCCAACATATTTAACCTCAAGTACTCTTTGTAAATATTAAAAATGTTCAGTACGCGTCTATTGATCACGCTCAAAACGTGTTGCTTCTTCTTTTATTTAATTCTCTTAACTCTTGCTATTTCTCGCTAACGAACTGCTCGCCTCGCTGTTCAGATTGAAACTGTTGCGCTCTGTAAATCGTGCGCTAGAAATTCAATTCCAGCAGAATCCGGTCGGTTCAGTTTTCGGCTCTCTCCCGCCGCATCAGGTAGCGGCACGACCTGTTTCTCCGCTCTAACGGCTTCCAGTTAGCGCTCTCTCATCTACAGAGCTCGCATTGGTCGCTGCGCTTGCGGTCTCGCTCTCGCCGATGGGTGCGCCATTTTGAAATTCCTTTTTTTTACATTTGCTCGAGCTAAATAATGGGCGCCCGTATTATTGTTGATAGCATTGATTGCATTGGGGGCATCTCTTTGAACTATACATTTGATTATAAATAGTAATGCAAATGGAAATGGAAATGGAAATGTTTTAGATCTGGGCCAAATCATAATGGCCTATTAGCTTAAGAGAGTTTATATTGAAAGGCGTAATAGAGATTTCTTAGTTTTTAAGCCGTAAAATTATTTTAAATAGACAATGCCAAGCACAGGGCCCTTCGAAATATTTGTGTTCCTTTTTATTTTATTATATTTTTGTAAAGAAATGTTCAATGCAACTCTTCCCCGACCCCATAAAGCATAGCAGAGCTTATTATGATCTACTTACGAGCTATATCTATTAACTGTAAAATATAATATAGTTATATTATCATATAGTTGTATGGAAGAACTATGTAGCTTGCATAACTTCATGACTAAACTCAACAATTATGGGCTTGACTCTTAAAATACATTTGCAGAGCTATTTCAAATGCAAACATTATAGAAACAATCTGACTGAAATAAAGTTATTCTATAAAGTCACCTCCAAACTATATGTCTTCCAAAGTATTTAATCTTCGGCATACGGAAGTTGGCCATTCATTCATGTTTTAATAATTTAGAAACATTTGGAAACTTATTCCAGAATTATCAATAAAACTTATGCTAGGCACAAATTAAATCTTTCTCTTTTTTGTATGCTAAATTTATAAGCCAGGCCACATCCTTTTCTGTTTCATCTTGTAAATACTTACACACAAATCACACTCGACCGGTTATCTCCCATCTGGCTGAAGAGGATACGTGTATTTGGGACTTATCTTAAATCAGCATACAAGCTGCCGCTTATGGAAGCCAAAAATTGTATCGCTACCGTGGACCGAAAGCAAAGAGAGATCCGCCTGGTGATAAGTTGCCGTAATCAAATCTTAAACGGTACTTGTAGCTGGAGGGGCGCAACAATTTGTTGAGGCACATCAAACTGGCGCCAGGCGAGAGGCGACAGCCGCAAAGGCCACTTGACTGCCAGTTGCAGTCACCTTTTGCCACTTGTCCGGGTACCAGTAGGACGACAAAAATGACAACGTCGGCGTCAGTGTCGGCATAAACTCACAGGCGAGTCATAAAAACGATCACACTTTGTCCCAGGGATGCTGCGAACAATGGCCACAAAGGATGTGCATTTTATGGCCCGACCGCCGACCGTTGTCGTGTCCATGAGGCATTTTGGATATTATTGTTATGATTATTGTATGTTTGTGGGTCGGCTCTGCAATTTAGTTTTATTGTCTAGACTCGAGAGACTCGACAGAACCGCAAGGACGGACAGCTTGGAGCATAAAAGGCAAACCGGAACACCTGAGATCCTTTGCGATAGAAAAATGTCAAATAATATTCGTGAAATAAAAGATTGTAAATGGAACCCGAAACCCTTTCTTATCTGACGAAATTCACATTGAGTCATTAGTCAAATGAGTATCCGGTAATTTGACCAGCTTTGCAGAAATACTGCGCAACAATTCCGCTTATACGAAGCCCTAAGTGCACTTCCTTCCTATCTACTCATGACTCAGGCAATTAGCGTTCCTTCACAGAAGCCACAGTCCAGACGGATTTGTGTTAATAGCGCGCGCGACGCAACGGCCCAGACCTCGTCTCCGGCTCTCATTCATTGCCAGCTCCCGGAAAAACCCGGGGAAATTTCGAGCAGTCATTCACTAATTGCTGTCCTTTGGCTTCCAAATTTGTTTATTATCTTTGGCAATGCGCTTAGGCTACCATGTAAAGTCGACACACGTACATTAAGCAAACGAGCTGCGAGCTTACGTTTTGCACATGTATCAGACATTTAGATTTATTGTTGCTGTTCCTTTAGGGATTCAATATTTTACATGTAACTTATGTAATATGCGGATTTATCACACGCAAGCCACGTATTATACAATATTTCATTTTAATCTTATATTATTATAAATTTAACTATGTGGGTTTTTTTTTTAATTTTTATTTTTCATGTTAATTCAGCTTCATATTTTTGTGTGTATTTGTCGTTAGTTTATTTAAATGTTTATCACAGCTATACGTTTATGCATATACATATATAGATATATATTTTTTATAATTAATTTTGTTTTTTTTTTTCAATTTGGTTTTTAAAAATATATTTCATAAAATACACACACGCACACACTCACACACACATACATATACTTACAATTGCAAGAAACTTACAAGTATAAAAATTCAACACGAAAATGTTGATAAAAATATAAAAAGTAGGGGGTGTTAATAAGAGTACATATATAACAACATTTCTGCAAGACTTATGGGCCGAGAACAACAAAGGAAAAAATAACAACACCGAAAGCTCAATACGCCATTGATATGTAGCAGCTACATGACCAGCTCCAGTTCCAGCTCCAGCTCCAGCTACAGTTTTAGGACAACTCAAATCCTGTATTGCTGCTGACGGCATAGCGCAGCTTATCTCTGAGCGTTGACTTCTTCTGGTAGTTGGGCAACTTAAGCAGGTTGAAGCAAGTGGACGAGGTGGGAAGCCGATTAAGCGGATCCTTTTTGCGTATGGTAAAGAAGCCGCGTATAACGCTGCCTATAGTGTCCCCAGTATCTTCATCGTCGCCCACCTCCACACAGCGTATGGAAAACGGTGGCTCAAGGTGCGCAAAGCCCAACAATGGTGGTTTGGAACAGCTGGTGACAAACTATAAAAACATCATTATAAACTAGATAAATTAAAAGTGTCCTTTAGCTGCATACCTTCAGAAACAGTTTGCGTTCGTCCTCCGTGAAGTCCTTGGCCAGTATATCCCAAAGCCAGCCAACAACGCGATGTGAGTCATGGAAGCCGCCGTAATATTGTGTATGCTTACGCAAATCTTTCAGGTCCAACGGCACAGTGTCACCCGAAATAAGACGCTGTAGTTCCGGCGGCGAAAACAGTGATAACCACTCAGGATTGACAATGCTGCGAAAGCCGCGATTGAACGCCTGCGTCTGCTCGCGAATCTGTGTGTTCATATGAAAGTAGGCCATGTAGTGTATATAGACCAGTTTGTTATGATCGTTCACTACGCGCGCCTTGCCACCAGGGTGCAGTTCGTGTGTAACAATCTTGCCCATGACATCCTGATCGACAGAGAAAGTCAAGTTCAAATCGGCGACATCCTGCTTATAATGCTTGATAAATGTAAGGCTGCGGTAAAGTTCGTTGTCTAGCGAGGGCAGCTCGTCCATGCAGGAGTAGAGCGCTTGCTGAGTTTGCCCCAGCAGTTGGGAAAGAAAGAACGAAGCAAACGGCACATCCACCACAATGCCCTCGTAAACAGCCTTGCCGAGCATTCTTCCCACAAACTCAAACAATTGCAAATGATTGTCCTGTACATAAGAAATGGGCGATGGATAAAGTCGCTGATCGGAGGTGGTTTTGAATAGGTTTAGCGATGGATCAAACACTTTCTTTATGGTCTCCTCCAGAAACTCCTTGAAAACGCCATCCTGATCAATGCCCGCCTCGTGCAGTCCCTGTTGATTGATAAAGCGCACTCGTATTACACCTTTCAGCGCATGTGTGGGCTGTGCCACTAACTGACGGTAGCCATCTTCAACAATACGCTCGCGATGAATGACAATCAGCGCTGAGCGCGGTGAGGCACACGCGCTCTCCGTCAGACCCATCACAGCCTTCTCGTTTTGAACAAACTTTCGAAACAATTTGACCCGATCCTCGTGTGGTATAATATGTGGCATCTTGGCCAGCAGGAGCATTGCATTGCGCTTGGCCTTCTCCAGATCATTGATAAAAGTCGATGGCTTGACCTCCGCTATGAGCCAGTGGTTTGGGGGTGTGAAGGGACGTCGACAGTCGCGCCGATATAAACACAGCAACAGCGTATGAAGTGAAACAAACACCGGATTCTGTACAATGTTCTTGGCACCTAAAAAGTAAAAAATAATCCAGTTAGTTAAAGAAACTTTAACCAAATGCGAATGTTTCATTCATACCCAAAATGTTGTCATTGATCAGTTTGTAGAGAATATTATTGAGAAAATAGGTTAGCATAACATAGTCGTTTAATCGAAAGGGATTCTGCTCCGTATACATTTCATACTCGTCCAGAATGCTGTAAAGGTAGGTAAAACTATTAAAAAACTTAAACCTGGAATCTAAATAGAACATACGTCACATAGTGTGTCATGCAGTCACAGAACAGCATCAGCATGGCTATCTGTGGCTTTTGCACTAACGTCTCGCATCTCAACAAGTCCAGATACTCCTTCATGCCGCAGTTGGGTCCCAACGAGGTCAGCAGCAGCCAAATATCGTACAGCACATTATCATTGTAGCATATGCCAGTGAGAATGTCCAGTTTCATTTGGGAGAGTGTGTTTAAGGCCGCATAATACATGCCACAAATGCGTGACACCTGAACCACATTGCCATTGTCCAGCTTGCGCCATTGCACTTTCGCCTGCTTGCCAGCAGCACTGGCCAACAAGCCACTGCCACGTGTGGAGCTGCGCTCCAGAGCGCGACGTATTAAATTGCTGGTTGAGGGCTGCTGCGGTGAATGAAACTCAATGCGTTCGTAGTTTTCGTTGATTTCCTTCAGCAGATCCCCGAGGAGCAGCTTAATGCAGCGATGGTCCCACAACATATGAAACTGTTTTTTGATCAGTGCAACATTCTGGTTCTGTGCAGGTTCCGCACAGGGTGTGTGCCAGCCGAGAAGCTCGTGCCACTGTGTGAAGACCCCTTTGGTGGTCACCGTGTTGGGTATTAATTCCAGCAACGATGTGGTCGTCTCCTGCAAATATCACACATAAGATGAGGCAATTACCTAAATTATTTTCTACTTACAGTCAACAGCGGATAGGCCAACTTCTTCGCCTCGGCTAAATTCTCAATGTTGAACATATTTACAATGTTGCCCAAATATGCCAGAGATTTGGTGCCCGACATGCTGGCAGCGAATTCTTCGAACCATTGATAGTCCTCCGATATGTTCAAGGCTCGCTTTAGCAGCGACATGGAGCTGAATTGTTCAATGCACTGCGGCACGCTCTGATGCAAATGATAAATAAGCGCCGGCACTGAAAGTATTTCGCTGAGAAATTGTGAAAGTATGTTGCGACTGAAATCGCCATCGATAAGGGGCCGTAGGCAAAGCGTGATTATTGCAACGAGCGTCACCGGTTTGACGGACAATTCCTCGCGTGCGGTTCCTTTTAGCAAAATAATCTTAAAATTGAAATTATCAAAGATATCATTTGTATCATTCAAATCATCTACACTTTCAAAAAAAAACAGCTAAACAAATGCGAACTTACCCGCATAGTCTTATAGAATCCGTGATGAACCAAGTGTCCCTGAACGTTGCAACAGATCTTCTGCATGGCCGGCTGCAGTCGCTCAAATTGGGCGTTCCTCAGTAAGGCCCATGATTTAGGAGCAGTGAACACAATGAGTGTGTGTAAGAAGAGGGCTAGTGATATGCTATCAGCATGATTCTCCGGTTTTAGCTCTGGCAACAGCTGCATGCAATTGGTCAACAATTGTTTAATGTGTCCAATCCAGGGCAGGCTGCGCTCCTTGTGCAAGCACAGGGCCGCATACGATAATTTTGGATTATCCACTTCCATTGCTCGGTTTACATAGCGACAGATGCGCTCCAGGCGATCACGCGTGCGTCCATCGTTTTTGTCCAATTTGATTTGTGTTAGGTAGCGACGAAGCACAGGATATGCATGAACAGCGGGCAACAGATCCGTATCCTTCTCGTCCTTCTCATCGCCCCCATGACAGCCCATAAAAAGGGCATCAAAGTCGTTGCTGTGGTAATGGGAATGTGCAGTACTGAATTAAGGAGCATTTAGACGTTTGTCAGGGAACTCACATTATGCATTTCTGGTACTTGCTACGGGCTGCATATCCTTTAAGAGTCGCTTGCAACAAAATGGCAGCCTCCTCTCGTCGCTTCTCAAGGGCGCGCTCCTCTCGTGCCGCCTTCGTATACTCCAAAAAATTGTTTTTATGTGATTCCGTTTGTGCAAACATTTTTTTTACAAAAAAGTTATGTGGTTTTTGTTGTTTTTGCTCGCAGAAGCTGCAGCTTATTTGTTTTTATGATGGTATTGTTTTCGATGGGTTATATTGTTGATTGCGCGGTAAATTAACAGTTCGCAGTGTTTTGACAGCTACTTATTTTAATGTGCATTGCAATTGCATTTTGCAGTAGCACTCAATTTTCCAATAACAATTTTTCATTTTCATTAGCCCCTAGCTCGTATATTGTATGTGAACAAGTTGGGTTGAACAAAGTTTCAACAGGGTGGCAGCCTCAGACCTAAAAATATCGATGAACGATGAATCATCGCTAGAGAGGTGGAACCGGTTTTTTGAACAGCGAAATTTGGAAACTGATTCGATTTACTCAGCTCTATTGCAACTTAGCACATTGACGTATATACATATTATTTTAAAATGATATCATAAATTTTAAAATATTAACTATTTCCCAACTAGTTTTTAGAACAAAAGATACGAATTCACCATGATTAAAATTATATCATTTAACATATCGAATTTGTAGTTAGATTGCAGTTCAGTTCATGTGAACTAAATCACTCCAACCCGACTTTACTTTATTTGTCATCTCCATCTCCAGCAGCACTTTCTACGAGCGAGAACGTCGTCGCGTTTGAGTGAATTAATAATTAATTAACTATAATAATATAGTATAAATTTGAAACAAAAAAAAAGAAATGCAAGCAACTGCGAGCGGATACAGTTGTGTGCAGTTTTATTTCGTTTTATCCCAAAATGTGTTGCGTGCACGCGCAAGTATGTCGTGGTGATGCCAGAGTCAGCTAAAAAAGGCGATGTAGTATGATTTTGCAAGACTGAAATACAGAGAATAACAAAGCCAAGTCAAGGTGAAAATTATACAAAAATTAATGGATGCGCGATCCGATAGCATATTCATATCAAGTTAACGAAATATGCTCGTATTTCGGAACGATCAAAACTGTGTGAAAATAATTTCAAGGTTTGCAGCGCGAGCAAGCGAATAGAAAGCAAAAGGTAATTGAAAAATAGAACGATTTTGGCACAAGCGCAGAGCGCAGTGTATAGTCTATGGTATTGTGTTGTTGTTAACGTTTTGTCTATGACTGGGTGGGTGGGGCGCGATTTGGGGGCAGCTGGTCGTCGCAGCAGCAAAACAAAACAGCGAGCGTGTTTGTCGCGTATGTGTGGACGACAGAAGCAGTTGCCCAAAACGGAACCGAAAGTGTGCAATTGAAAAGAAGCGACATGAAAACAATTGTGCAGCGCTCTGGGTTGCGAAAGCAGGCATAAAAACAACAACAGAGCCAGAGGCACTGCGAAGAAGAAGATGAGAGCAAATGCCTGCCTGCTTTGTAATCTCATGTAATTTGCCGCAATTTTTGCTTGTGCATTCTGGCTGTTTCCGTATGTGCGCGTGTGTATGTGTGTGTGCATGTGAGAGCGCGCTTTGCTTTGGGGTCGGTAGGTCGTTTTGTAGCGCGCGACATATTGTCGCTTGCATTCCGTCACACACATAGCCGCATACATGTATGTGCAGCTGTGTGTATGTATGTATTTAATATATAGATGTGCTCTCCCCCACTGCCAACGTAGGGCAACAGTACTAATGCAAGTTCCTTCGATTCTGTAAAAAAAAAAGGCGCGCGTTCGCTTTGCTTTGCTGCTGTGCCGAGAGTTAATTTTGCAGGCTCCACCATTTTAAAAAACGCCAGCTACATTAGCTGACGCCACCAACGCCAGCGCCAATCATCGTCATTCTCTCGTCCGTCGCCGCCGCCGTCGCTGTTGCTCTGCTTCTGCTTCTGCTTCTGGGTTTGTCCGCTGCAGTTGCCATCCTCAGTGCTCCCCATAGCGTGCCCGTTGCAGCAATTATAGCTGGGTTGTGCCTGCCTGCCGCCTGGCTTCGTTTTGTTTAATCCTCATTTCTGTTTGTGTTTATTCGAGTGCAGATAATCAAATTTATATTAGGCATGCAAAATACAAAATAAAACAACAGAGCGCGAAAAGAAAAATGTTAAACGAATACGATCGCTGTTGCTGAGTTAGCAGCTATACATGAAAAACATTTGTGAGTACCCTACAATGGCAGTTGTTATTGTTGTTTAATGCCTGTTTTTCCCTCTACAAATGTATGTATGTGCCGTTTATTGAACTTTGGCGAATTGACAGTTATTATTGCTGTGTAATTTTAGGCCGGTTAATACCGTAGCTGTTTGTGTGTGGGTGCCTGTGTAACATTAACAGCAATACTAACACATAACCTCAAACATTGAAACTGTTGCCTAGTTACCGTTACATTGAAGCGCGCCATTTGTGAAGATTATTATTTTTTTTTTTTGATTTGATTTTAGCTTGAGCAGATAAAATATTGTTCAAACGTAATTGTGTGCAGCAATTAAAAAAACAAAAAAATGTGAAATCCCACCTAAAATAAAGTTGAAAAAAAGCAGCAAATTCCACTTGACCGCTCTTTAATACTGTAATTGGGTCCGTTATGTTTTAATGCTTGCTCATGTACACACATACATACAAACATATTCATATATGTATGTACATTGACACAGCTGCATTGCTGAGAGAGCTTTAAAATTGTAACAGTAGACAACAACAGCAATAAAAAAATCGAAGAAAGTCGCTAGCGAAACAACTACAACATCTACTGTAACAAGCTTTATGATACCCGTTCGAAATGAGCACAGCGTATAAAAGAAGAAAAAATAAAATAAAGCGTAACGAAATTAAATGAATAGTGTAAATCGCAAAAACCTAACCACACTTATTCAGATTCATTGCGTCCCCCGACCCTCGCCTTCGCCCTCACCCATGGCTAGACAAGCTTAAACCTAATAGGTAAATAATGATTTGAAAATGTGTAGTATTATTATTGATTTATCGCCACCGCAAAGCTCCAGGCGAAGGTGTTATGTACCAAACTCGTTATTTATTTATTTATTTTTCTGATAAGAGCCACCGAAGGTGCGGACCTATGGAACGGGCCACAATGAATGCTAATTTTTTTCCTTTTCATATTTCATCATAATTCATATTTTCGCTGTCGTATTTGTCAGGTTGCAATTTTTATTATTGTCGCAGCATTTGTAAATTTAATAAATTAGCAAAAAATTGATTTGATTAACTTTGAATGTTGTCGTCGGCGTCGGCGTCGGTGTCGGTGTCGGCTTCGGCGACATACCCGCTTGACATCTATTATCGCCCGAAATGGGAACAACAACAACAACAGTTAAAGCAGGGGAAAAATTCTTTCCGTTTGTGACGTGATTCGTGCTGATCACGCGGCTTGGTATACACAACATTGCATGACCCACAATTATTAAACTAACTCTCTAGCACTGCAAAAAATTGAAACTCACCGAAGTGCACTATGCAAATATTCCGAATGAGCTATAGGAACAAATGGAAATGGAACAATTGCAGAGTAAACAATTTCACAACTGATAAAAGCACAACAAAAGACGAGTTTCTTGTAAATTGATACTAATCCTATTTATAATTCGTTTATGTTTCTAATTGCAGAGCTGGCAACTTAACCAAAAAATAAATATATACACCACAAACTCGTAACGATTGTAATAATAAACAATAAATCCATACGAAACTATTTATTGAGTAACCTGCAGCAACAACGATATGAAGTACACAACAGGAACAGACAACGCGCTGCCCACAGGCAGCAGCAGCAGCAGCGACTCTCAGAATCCCTTAAACGAATTGCAATCAGGAGTCACTAGCACACAGCAGCAGCAGCAACAGCTGCAGGAGCAACAATCCGCAGTAACGACAAGTGCCGGCAGCTCTGCGGCCGCCACTTCGAATCCCAATCCCAATCCAAATACCGACAACCAAGCTGATACCAATGCCAACGGCGATGCCCAACAGCCTGCCACACAGGCGGCAACAAATGCTTTATTTTGCGAGCAGGTGACGACAGTGACGAATCTGTTTGAGAAGTGGAACGATTGCGAGCGCACAGTGGTCATGTATGCGCTGCTGAAGCGACTGCGCTATCCGAGCCTTAAGTTTCTACAGTATTCCATAGACAACAACCTGACACAGAATCTGGGCACATGCCAGTCGACTCTGAGCAGCGTCGTCATTGACATCAATGCAAACAATCCGGCCTACTTGCAAAACCTATTGAGTGCTTACAAAACGTGTCAGTCCAACGACTTAGTAGACGGCATGTCCTCCTCCTCATCGGATAAGGACTCAATGCACTGCTATGGCAGCGACTTTCAGATAACCAGCAGCACAAACCCAACACAGTGCGCGGACGAGCGCAAATTGTACGCACGCAAGGAAGATATACTGCACGAGGTGCTCAATATGCTGCCTTTGCTTAAGCCCGGCAACGAGGAGGCCAAGCTCAGCTACATGACGCTGATACCGCTCGCGGTAAAGGACACAGCTCAACAGCTGGTGCCCACCGAGCTGGTGCAGCAGATATTCTCGTATATGCTCATACATCCCGCCATTGGCAGCGATGATCGACGTTCGCTAAATGTGTGGTTACGGCATCTCGAGGATCACATACAGGCGAACAAGCGCAGCAGCTACTTTGTGCAACCGGAGCAGCTGCAACTGCAAATGACCACGGGCACCACTTCGGATAGCTCATCGTCGTCCTCCTCATCGCTGGGCAACCTAACGCGCAGCGTTGATTGGCAAACTATTGCGCCACCCAGCAGACACCACAGCAAGCAGCTGCCCAGGCAGCCAGGCGAATGGCGCGGCAGCGTTAGCGGCTCCTGTGGCTCGATCAATCCACTCTGTGATAATTTAAATGGTATTACACTGAACGAATTAGCATCTAGTCAGAATAGCTTAGGACTCTCCCTGGGCAGCAATTCGTCGCTGGTCAATGGCGTCGTTGCTGGCGCTGCAGCGGGTTCCATTTTGGGCATCGGTGGCAACGATGATCATGACACCTCATTCAGCAAGAACGGCACCGAAATCCTCGACTTTGAGCCGACCCATTGCGACGGTGTTGTCAATGGAAGTGCCGAGACAAGCGGCATTTGCAGCGCCAACCTTAGCCAGCAACAGGTAAGCGACAATATAAAGTTTAATTTTGCAGAGGGTATTATAAGCTGTCCCTTACATAATGTAACCTTCTAAGGGAGACGTATTTGTGTCCCAAGAGCATATACGTATATTCTTAATTAAATAGACGAGAGAAGTTGATAAAGGTTTGAAAGTGTGAATGTCTGTTTGTATACAAACTAATGTATTTAATATTCAAGTCTGATATAATAAAGAATCCGCATCGTATCTGTCAGGGTCTTCCGCTTTCCTTTACTATGATAGCGATCTCTAAATGTTTTTTTAAATATATTTGCAGACTTCTTCACAAGCGGCTTCCATTCTTCCTCAGCTATTGCAGCCGCCACCACCACCACCTCCGCCGCAACTGCCGTACGCCTCTATACTGATGGGCTATGTGGGCGATCAGTTTGGTGACGTTAATCGCTGGAGCCTGGACAGCAAAATTGCGGCGCTTAAGACGCGACGCTCAAACAGCTTGACCACACAAACGATCTCCAGCTGTTCGTCGAACTCATCGAACTCGTCTGTGATCACGGTAAACGACAACTGCTCCAATTCAACGGAGAATCTGGCGCAGTTTGCAAATAAGCCGCGCAGCTTTTCGCTGTCCATTGAGCATCATCGCGCCAACAGTACACTACCGAACAGCACCTCGGACACCCGCCTGGATGACTTTAAGCCCAGCTACATTAAATTCCAAACGCGCAATGTGGGTATGTCTGGGATTGGCCTGTGGCTGAAGTCGCTGCGTCTGCATAAGTACATCGAGCTGTTTAAGAACATGACGTACGAGGAAATGCTGCAGATTAGTGAAGACTTTTTGCAAAGTGTTGGCGTGACCAAGGGAGCCTCGCACAAGTTGGCGTTGTGCATCGAGAAGCTGAAGGAGCGCTCTCACATACTCAGCAAAGTGGAACAGGAGCTGCATACGGGTCAGATGAAGATCAGTACAGCTATTGAGGAGCTCACCAACATTGTGCTGACGCCGATGAAGCCTTTAGAATCGATTTCTGAAGAAGAGAACATTGGATTGCGTTTCCTCAAGGTTATCGATCTGGTCAGTAATGCTCTGCAACAAGATCCTTACTGTGCCCAGGATGAAGAAACATTGGGTGTGTTCATGTGGATACTGGATCGTTCTATACACAACGAGGCATTTGTAAATCATGCCAATCAATTAAAAGAGCTCAAGTTCAAATTGTCCAAGATAAAAATGTCGATGGTGCCAAAGCTGCATCATGTGAAGACAACGGGCGGCACAACAAGCAATATGAACAAACCTAGGTAAGTGGCCTACAGAAGCCTTATTTTTAATATTACTAAAATCCATATCTTTTATTTCTGGTTAGGTGGAACGGAAAGACCCGCAAGTGTGATCCCAAAAACGGTAGCAACGATCGCATCAATCATCGCAAGAACTCAAATGATATGCTGAACTTTTCGCTGAGCTGCCTGCAGCATCCGTTGCAGCATCATCAGCAACAGCAGCAGCCGCCGCCTCAACAGCAGTTTGACTACAACGGAGGTTATCAGACGCAGCAGTACAAGAGCTCCTCCTATCCTAGCTTTATGAATAACCCACAGCAGCACCAGCAGCAGCCGCCAAAGCATCATTCACAGCATGCGCAGCAGATGCAGCAAATACTGCAGCAGCACGCACAACACTTTCCAGCGTTGCCCCAACAGACACCGCCACCGCATCATCGCCGCTCACTGAATAATCTAATTGTGGTCGCCGGTGGGCCCCAGCAGCCGCAACAGCTGATCTTTAAACCAGGCCAGGGTGTGCTGACCAACAGCAGCAATGACAACCTGCAGCAACAGCAGCAGCGCAAGCCCAGCCTGAATGGTCTCACTGGATCCAATGGAGTATCCACTGTGGAGCAGCAACCGAAGAAGACGATGGCCGCTGTGGTAATGGTTAGTAGTGCAAATCAAAATGAATCCGCTCAGCAGCAGCAACAGCCGCCACAAATATTAATTAACAACAACAATAACAATAATAACAACAGTATATTGAACAACAATTTGATTAATCATCAGCAGCTGGAAGTGTTAGCAGCTGCTGCCGCCGCTGCTGCTGTCGGCAATGGCAGCTGTTTGTGTCCTGGTGATGGTAATGACAATGTAATTGCCTGTAGCGCAATCTGTAGCAATAGTGTCTGCCAGCAGCCTAACAACAACCACAACAATAATAATAATAACAACATTAATAACAACAATGTGGATCACTGCCTGTCTCAGCCGCAGCTCATCAATCTAAGCATGAACTCACTTAAGGACAGCTTTCATATGCCGCCACATGATTATAAAATGAATGACTTCAAGAGTTTGGAGCAGCTGGAGACGCTGTGTCGCCAAATGACTGAGCAGGCAATGAACTAAACTGTTGGCAGTGTATTCTTTTGGCTATATTGAAATTCAATGTTGAAATGTTACATACTTGTGTGTCTGTCTGTCTGTGCTTGTGTGCGTGTCTGTTAATGTATATTGTAACTCGATAGGATTGAGAGTGTTTTGTAATCGTTTTTAGTTATGTAAGACACTAAAAAGTTTGTTTAATATTAAGTTTATTTTCCATGTTAGCGTCTTTAAATCTGTGAGTGTGTATGTGTATTATGTTAAATGAAGCGACCGCTGTGTAACTTTGGAGCTGCTGCAACCACAGTGCAACGGCTGGCCGTTCAAAACTGGCAGGGTCTAGCTGATAACTCCCCCACTCCGAGCCACTTGGCACAGCTAGAGCACAGCCCCAGAGTCGACCCAGAGGCGCCGTTTTGCTGCCAATGTTATTAATGTTTAAGTTGAACATGTCTAAATGTAGTTCCAACTAATCGCAAACTCAATGCAGAATGCAACAAGATAATAAGACAACAAAACCAACAACAATAACAACAAACCAGCAACCAACAAAACACAACTTTCTCTCTATAGGAAAATTTGGCCAAATTTGATCAACATTTTACGCTATTCTGACGCTGCCCCCGCTCTAATTCAGACGTCGACGACGAAATTGCATACAACATATATATATATATAACAAAATATATATGTGCATGCATATGTTAATAAATGATATATTATAAACTCTGCATCGTGACCATGAGACTGACTAAGATTACTATATTCGCAACTATAAGAACTAGAAAAGCTGGAAAAATAAAACATGTTTGAAGATACACACGATACACACAACACACGCGAATCAAAAACGTTGCTTGCTGAAAGTCACATAATGAACTATATATATAAAAAAAAATATATATACACATAATTTATTTTAAATTTAAAGGAACGTAATTGCTGAAAACAAAACTTTGAACTGTAATTGTAAACACTTAAACAAATTGTCTTATATTTGAGTTGTAATGAAACGCAGAGATGAGGTTTAGGAGCATAAAGCTAACGCAACACATATTCTATTTTGTATAAGTAGTAAGAATATAAGCCAAAAAAAAAAAACAACAAAAAAAATCAAAAAACTCCCATGCATGTTATCAGACATTGTACCACATATATATATTTACAGATATATATTTTATATGTTTTGTTTCGCTTTTAGGCTTATTCAATTGTTTGTAATCATGTGCTGTATATGATAATGATGGCAATCGATTATGTTGTTTATTGTTTTGAGAATTGCTATATATAAACATATATATACATATATATGTCAAATATCGACCGCGATTGCTTTGTAACTAAGCTTAAGCTAAAATTTAAACGAGAGTGGACCGCTGTAGGCCACAGACAACTATAAGAAAATTTAAACAAATTGTTAGCTTAAATGAATATTTTGTGTGTACAAATTGAACGAAATGCATAAAAAATGCAAAAATGTGTATACATACATATATATATATGGCTGATGCTTGACAAACAAATTAAATTGGTTTTTTTTATTAAACAATTACAAGAAAAACAATACACACTCAAACACACAAACACAACAAAACTGTTCTGTTAATATTTAAAAATTGCAAAGAAATGTAAGTTATATATATATATATATATATATATATATATTAACAAAATTGATAGCCATAGAAAAGTTCAAACTAAAAAAATGGTTTAATAGGTAAAGGTTCAACTATAAACAAGAATTGTGCATAAAGTCAAGTTAATTACATAGTACATAGATCCAATCACATTAAAGTCAGATGGGATTGAGGGGGGCGTGCAAGGCGGGGCATTGCAGGCAAAGAACGAAACGAATTATCAAATGTGAGCATTCAAGAGTGTACCTACTACCAATACACATATACATACAAACATATATATTTATTTTAAATAAATTATTTCAAAAATTATGTGCTTGAGTGTATTTGTGGGTGGGTGGTCGTGTTTTCCCACAACCTGGTTGCCTAACAACGTAGGTTGCCATGCGTCTCCGGCGGAGTCTCCTGTTATTTTACGTACAATCAATTACACACACAACTGTTGAAAAGGAATCGAAATACATATAAATATATACATACTGAAATCAGATCATAGCAAAATTCGAATCGCATCATGAACAGGCATCGTTATAACAATGTGCAGCTAGATGGGCTGACTTCGGGCCTGTTGAAGCAGCAGCAGCAACACCAGCAGCAGCTGCAACAATCAGGCCAGCCGCCAGCTAATGGCAATGAGGAGCACTTGCCCCTGTGGCCGAGCGAGCGCATTGGGCCCGGTGGCAGCGGCGCCTTTCATTCGCCAAAAGTGGAGTACAGCAAGGAGACTGCCGATTTACTGAAGCGTAAGTATCGATAGTCTTTCGTACCACTTACCTTTTGCTTATTGCCTTGCAGTGCTTATGAAGGAGTCCAAGATGTCCATGGTTATGCGCAAGCAAATCGATAATAGTCTGCGCAATGGAGAGCCGCTGCCGTTGCCCAAACCGCCGCGTCCCAACACCAACAATGATCTTGACAAGGAAACCCTGGCTATACTAGAGCGTGCGCGCAATGCCAAACGAAAAAACCTGCGCCAAATTGAGGGTAGCGGTGCCTATGAGAAGACCTATTATCGCCCGAAAGTGGACAATCGCATGATCAGCGATAAGGCCAAATCCAAGCTGCAATTGACCATGGCAGGGGTTGAATTGCCTGATCCGGCTATAAAGCCGCTTCGACGTTCCCGTGAAGATCGTTTGGTCACCGAGAATGATATAATCAACGAATGTATGTCGGGTAGAGTTTGTTGGGCTTGCACTCGTGCTTAATATGTTCTTTTCGCAGTGCTGGATCAAATAAACGAGCGTGCAGATTGGCTGGCCGAGATGGAGGCGCTGGGGCAGGGTAAAAAATACCGCCCCGAGATACACGATCAGATATCGGAGCGTTTGCATCGCATCCGTGCATTGGAGACCAAAATAAAGATGAAGGCTGACGGAGGCTATCGCTTTGTGGACTAGAATGAAGTTAAAAATAAAATGTGTTAAATGTTTAACGTATAGAAATAGTGTTATACGACGAGTAAATTGAAAAAACCGTTGAGCAACCGAACTTCTTGCGTATACTTAAAACAATTGCATACTCTTATGCGCTAACAGAAATTTACATTCGTCTATTACTATTATAATCATTTTAGCGTTTTATTCAACTTATTTACTTGACATAATATAATAATGATTTTGTATTAGTTTTAATTTCATCTGGCACATATTTAATACAGACAAAAACGCACACAGCTCCAACAATTTAAGAAGCGCAACTCAAAGCAATTGGGAGGCCTCAAACTCGGGTCTCCTCACTCTTTATGCTGGTTCCATATGGAATTTGGCAAAACGAGAAAAACTACGATACTTGAAAATACGTATGGATTTGTTTAAGTAATCGAATAAATTATTGGAGTATATATTTATATATAGATATTACGTCTCGAGTATATCTTCTGTATCTATTCTCTATGTTTCTGTGTGTACATATATGTATACGCAATCTGTAATGCTCCATTTAAAAATAGACATTTTGTGCTACAATTGTACAAGGACGTCGCTTAACAGGATGGCATGTGGCAGCGAAACTCGCCTGCGGCCTCCGCGAAACGATTGCGTATCAAATAGCCGCTGATTACCTCGGCTACCTCGTGTGGACGGTCCTCGTGTACGGCGTGACCGCAGCGTGCCAACACCTGCATCTGGAAGCGTCCCTGCATCTGGCCAACGGTTAGGGTGCGATCTAGTCCATCGATGCTAGCCAGAAGTAACTGTTTGGGTAATCTCAAATTAAGGAACTTGTCGCTAAGGCCCGAAAACCAGCCGACCCAATACTTTTCCGATTTGGCCAGATCGATGCGCCAGGTATAGCTGTAAGAATTAAAAGGTTAATTGTCTTTCGTCTTAAAAATCAGAAAACTTACTTCTTAGCCGCATCAGTTGCAGCCTTGGTCGTTGTGGGTTTCTTGAAGTCGACACTTTCGGTTGCATCTTCACCGGCATTGCCCACCTCTTCATCTTCGGAAATGCTAAATGCATTGGGAAACATGCTTGTATGATGCGCCTCCTCCAGCACTTCATCCGTCAGGGGAAGATCATTCGTTGCCAATTTATTCGTTGTACAGCTAGAACGAAAATAATAATCAATAAAATAAAAGCTCTTTTCACGCTGACGTCACTCACTTGATTATTTGTCCAGGCATCGAGACTTTGGCACTGTCCACATTTCGCACCTGTCCGCTGCGTATGCACCATTCGATGGCATTTGGTATGCTCTGAAAGTATTTGGGACGCGAGCGCAGAAAGCTTTGCATACTAGCCAAAGCTTCCATTGCCGTGCCCTCGACGACATCGATGACTGTGATGCCAATCAGACTCGGCACCAACGCCATATATGCAAAATGTACAGCAATAGCACCGCCCATCGAGTGGCCAACCACATAGATTTGTGGCACCTCCTCGGGATACAGTTTCACGACCAAATCGCCAATGTCCCTAAGTACACACAGAAACGCTTAGTCGCAAACACACACACACACTTACACATAAAAGCAACAGGCTTGCACTTACTTTGAAAGAGTGTCTGCCGACAAGTCGTCCTCGTCATCCACTCTGCTGTCGCCATGTCCCCGAAGGTCGATGCACAGGCACTGACAGTGTATCATGCTTGTCACTTCCGACTTTAAGGTAAAACGGATTGTGATAGGATATTATTATCGCTCTTACACATACACAAAATATAATATACATACACAGAAATGCGCCCAGGTAAGCGCCGAATAGCCCCCACCGTGCAGTAATAACAATACGGGGCCCGGTTTCTCAGGCTGTTTAGTTTTATAGACGCGAAATGTTCGGTGCTCATCCACGGCGACATCTGCCTTCTCGGCAAAGAACTCGTTCCACATGCATGGCTTGTAGTCCCTTATACGTGACTTTTTAAAGGAATCTCTGTAATGTTTTTTTATCAATTAGATAGCGTGTCCTCCATCCTCCGCCCACATACTAAAAATACGTGGGAAAAACTTACGCTCTGCCAATCCGGCCACCCGGAATGGTGGGTGGCAGTTTCGACTTAAGTATTGTACGTTGTAAACTCGACATTGCCTGCGGATTGTCTGCGCAATAATTGCAGATGGTATATTACTTAAAATTGTAAATTTGTTTTTTTTCTTCACTACGTTTTCGTTACTGTTGAGCGCCTCAAAACTTTAACATTCACTGAAATGTTATTAACAGCAAGCATTAGTATGTTCATAAATACTTATGTTACTGATTATTAGACTGTTAAAAATTGAACAGTTAATTCGGATAATATATAAGCCCATGCAATGCGCTATGAAATATCAACGGTTTATTGAAAAAAGTTATCCTAAGTGCCGCTAAAAACTTATTTAACAGCTGCTATATGATATTCGATTATTTCTATTATGTTAACAGAGTCTAAACAGAGCCATAATTGAACAGCTGTGCCTAATATCTATCGATGGTTCAGTTGGCTGTGATTAGAATGCGCAGCAGTGGAAGCATTTTTACCTGTAAGTCTAAAAACACCTGGTCCGTCACTTGGTGAGCAATCAATACTACTTTTACATTTTCGGATCCTATTTGTTGCTTTCATGGAATAGTACTTCGATTAATATCGAGTGTGCGTAGTCCTTGCTAGAATTTATCGATCACCTGTAATATTAATCGGCGGTTTCAAGTTAAATACTGAAATTGTAATAACCAATCTTTTAAACTATTAAGCTATTAAACTTTTAAGCTATTTGTGTCGTACTGATCAACTCTGAATGTTTGCCCAAACAAAAAAATATTTATGAATTAACGCATATTAATTAGAAACCTGTTTCCAAAAGCGCATTAAATCTTGATAGCAAAGAAAGTGAAGATTTGTTGCATGGCCATAGTCACTCCGGTATGAGCATGACCTACATGGAACCCAGGCTGATAACAAACAGCTAATGTAAACTCAAGACGATGTCGAGCACTCCAGTCACAATTCACATTTTGTTGATATCTGCCTAAACAAAAACGGAAACTGAATGAGCTGAGCACTCAGTTGCCCGTTGGATGGCGTAGCGTTCGCGTCACACTAATACAGAAATCTAAAAAGGTTTTCTGCCCACTTATTTGATTTGCCCTGTGCAAGTGTTTCAAGCTATTGGGTATGTACGACATTAAGTACTGCTGGGTTTATTGAACTTTTAACGAAAGCAGAAGAAAGTATTTTTTTTTAAACACTCTTGAAAATTCCGCCAAACAAATATTTATCTTGAGCCTGGCAGTGCCCTTATAACAGCTGTTAAATTTGGATTTTCTATCTCGCTCGCTCTCTATGCGGCCCTCGGTATTTGCCGGCGCAATTTGCAAGTTAAAAGTTCGTGCACTTTGCAGTTATTCTTTCAATTAAATTAATGCAATTTGCATCAATTTAATAAACACGACAACAGTACAACACTTTCGAAGCAAATATCTCCCATGTTAGTTAATCGTTGCAAGTTTTAATCGCACCAATGACATTGTGATAAGGTGAGAGCCGGGCTGATAACAAGAATTTGCACACCTTTTCTATACACATGTAACATATGCACAAATTCTGTAGTTGTGTGTGGCTATTTTTGTTTACGTACCCGGTTTTTATAGCCTGTGTTATTGTTATTATGGCTTAACGGGGTATTGTGACACGTTAACAGCCACATAACTAGGGACTGTATTTTGCGTTGCAGGTCAGAAAATGGCAGCAAAAAGTGGAAGTGGTACAGTCGCAGCTCCCAATGTGGGTGACGAGCATGTTGCCGTGCAAAAGCTCCAGCCGGAGGCTAAGATCTATGAGCGCCTGATGAGCTTGGGCGCCTTCTACAAGCAGCAATATGGCGTTGAGCCAGAGTTTTATGTGCGCGTGCCAGGACGGTGAGCTGATGCCGACATTCACACCAACAGTTATACATATATAAATGTCCTTCGGTAGCGTCAATATTATAGGTGAACACGTGGACTACTGCGGCTATTCGGTCCTGCCCATGGCTGTTGAGCAGAGCATCATTTTGGCTGTAGGCACAAACCCAGAACAGGCACATCTGGAACTACATCATCTGGATGGGGGGAAATTCCAAAGCTTTGATTGCGATCTAAATGCCCTTGAGTAGGTTAAATGTATGTAATTCAATACATTTCCTATTAACATTTAAACTCTTCCTCTGCTAGCATCAAGCTGCCCAAGACAGGCGGTCCGGCTTGGTACAGTTACTTCTTATGTGGTATCAAGGGCATACAGGAGGATCTGGAGGAAAAGTGGCGTCCCATTGGCATGCGCATTGCACTTAGCGGCAATGTGCCCCTTGCTGCTGGCTTGTCCAGCTCTAGTGCGTTGGTTAGCGCCGCCGTGCTGGCCACTGGACACGTGCAGGGCATGCAGCTGGATCGCAAGCAGCTAGCCTCGATTTCGGCAAGCTGTGAGCAATATATTGGCACACATAGCGGCGGCATGGATCAAGCTATTGCTTATCTAGCGAAGGAGGGTTGCGCCCAGCACATTGAGTTCCATCCAAAACTTAAGGGTACTCCCGTAACGCTGCCCGCTGGCAGTTGCTTTGTGGTGGCCAATAGTCTCGTGCAGAAGCGAAAAGCAGCATCTTCCGACTACAATGAGCGCGTTGTCGAGTGCCGTTTGGCTACTCGTTGGCTGGCCAAGTCACAGAAGCTGCCTAACTGGAAGGATTTCACTAGATTCATAGATCTGGAGGAGGCCTGCAATTTAGATAATGCTGCATACGCCCAACTGATTCAACAACAGTTGAAAAGAATGCTTTATACACGCGAGGACGTTTGCGAGGCGCTGGGCATCACAGAACAGGAACTTGAAACGGATTTTCTAACGCCCAGCACGCAGCACATGCAGCAGTTCAAGCTGCGCCAACGCGCCTTGCATGTTATCCAGGGTTAGTTTCATAGCCTTTTATGCTTGCATTTAGTAATTCACCACATTTTCCTACAGAGTCTGGTCGAGTTGTCCAGTTCCGACAAATTTGTGAGCAGTTGCAGCGCCGCACAAGCAAGCAAGATATTGAGCAGCTGGGCAAGCTCATGCAGCAGTCGCATCAGAGCCTGCGCGAGCTCTATGAGTGCTCGCATCCGGACTTGGAGCGTCTCATTGCCTTATCCGTCAAACAAGGAATCAGCGCACGTGTCACGGGTGCCGGGTGAGCATACAACTAAATCTTCTACCTTCCTGTCATTAACAAAGATTCTTCAAACTTTACAGCTGGGGCGGCTGCATTGTGGCTATGTGCGATTCAGTTAAAGCAGCCGCCGATTACGTTCAGGTGCTGAAGCGTGAGTACTATGCTCAGTTGCCGGCGCATCTCTTGGAGCGCTATCAACCCAATGATTTCAATGAAGTTGTCTTCGCCACATTTCCCAGCAATGGCGCCGAACTATTTGTACTATAATTAATCACAATTGTATAACCTGTATATAATAATAGTAAATCCCTAGTAGTCTCACACATAACAAATTCTTTCTTTGTGGTCGTCTTCTTTTCAAATTACACAAACAGCGTCATGTTCAAGATGTTCTAAGGAAGCTTATAAACATTTTGCCATACAGTCGTACATACATTTTGCCATACGGTTTCAACACCACACTTTCACAACATTTCAAAAACATTTATGATATATACCTAATTGCATATAAGACATTGTTAAATTTCGCTTATTTGTTTTGGCAGCAGACTTGGCAGAAATCATTTCAGTCAATCATTTTCTATAGAAACTTACCATTTACATGATCGTGTGGTTAAAAGCAACCAGAAATAGCTAAGAGTTTAAAACAGGTTTCTACTTATATTAGTTAAGAAGGTTTGCTTAATCCAAAAAGTCTTTTATTATCAGGGGACTACCAAATGATTTCTTGTAGTTATTCCATATTAAGGTCAATGCGTACTTTTATTATATCGATAACAATTGTCAACTGAATTTTCTTAAACAAGAACTGGGTTTTCACTTGTAATTAAAATTTTGCTTAATATTTAAATGGGGTGTCTAAAGGATTAAGTATGGATACTCACCACTTTCTGCAGAATGTAAGGGAGATATTATATCATGTTGTGTCTAAAAAAGCCAAAATAGTTGTTCCCCCAAGAACTGAATTTTGTATTGTTCGTTCCTGTGGAATACATAATAGATAGTTGTTTTATGTTGATGAGCATTTTTCATCCTTGTGTCACAAGCAAAGTGAATGTAGGAGGAGCTAAGTTTGCGATTATTATATTTAAAGGAAAGCCAAATGTAATCTCTTTGATAGTTGGATATATAATTCTTATTTTCCATATGAAATCAAAATCAAACCTTGACTTTGATGACCTTCTCTGACTCTGACCTTCTTTCTGCCATAATTTATGCCTAAACCTTGACGAGCAAATATATCTGGCTTGTAAACGATCCGAAGAGCTTTTAAAAAAATGTTTGAGTATATTAAGACTTCATAATAAACATATGCAACAAATTACAAACTAGAATACAACAAGGCACTTGGGAAATGGAAGCTGGTTTCCCGTCTATCTGCGACTCAAGTAGCCCGCGTTCTTGAAGAGCTTGTAGACCTGTTCGCGTGGAATCTTTTCCGCCTCGCGATGCACAACCGCCATCTCCTTGCGCGTCAGCAGCGACTCCTTGGCCAGATTGGCAGCTATGACCGGATCGCTGTAGAAGCGGGCACTCTTGGAGAGCTCACCCGGCAGCTGCGACTCCCATTGGGCATTTTTAACCACCGACGGATGCGCATCTGCCGTGGCATATCCCACATATGGCGATGCTGGCTCATATGCGGCCTTCGCTGGCAGTCCCAAAGCCTGATGGTAGAAGAACTGCGCCCGAGCCGTGCTCAGGGCCAGCGCAAGGCAACCAAGCAAGTGAAGTAGGCGGGTGGACCACATGATCGCTGCAAGAGAGGAGAACATATTGTAGCTGACCGTTCCATGTTGGCTGGTTAATTGAAAGCTAATAAATGATACGCCCGAATTTATTTCTTTTATTTATTTATTTTTTTTTGGGTGCGTTTTTTAATCTTTAAGCAAAAACTGTCAGTTACGTGCGTCATAAATTATTTACGGAAAAATCAATTATCGCGCCAACAAGTGGTGCGACCAGACACACGACTCGGACTCAAAGTGCAGCAAAGGCATTGTTGCTGCTGCTGCCGCTGGTGTTGCACGGACTGCAGCTTTATCCATGAACTTTTCGCAATTGACGTTTTTGTTGCTGGTGATAACACTGGACAGCATGCATTGGGCACAGCTGCAGCATTTGAATTGTCAGTGTGCTCCAGTTAGGCTTAAATATTTCACAGTCTTAGTCACATTTAAACAATAAATAAATTGAAATTTTTAGTCACTTCAGAACTAAGCCAAAGTCAAGGTTGCACGCAACAGCCCACTCAGATATTATAATATCAATGCATATCTGTTTTTTGATTGTGATCTGAACGAGATCTGGAACGCCCACAATTTGTATATGGCTCACAATATTTAACACTGGACAACAACTGGGGCTGGAACTGGCAGCTGGCAGCTGGCTAACAAAGTTGAAACTGAATTTGTAACTGAATCTCAAATAACGAGCTGGCGTACTTTTATGTGTTTCACGTTGAATGCCACAAGAACGAGTTTCACTCAACTGAATTGAGACAAAAGCGCTGCGAAAACGCTCAAAGTTGTCGTCGAGCCGTGAGCGTACTTTGAAGGCGGCAGCTGGCTTCGGATATATATTTTATTATTATTATATTAATTATGAACGAAAGAGCACTGTGTAAGCTCCAGCTAGTGCGCCGACCTAGGCCTAGGCCATAGTTTGTGCAATTAAATGCGTCAGTTTTTCAGCTGTTTTCAGTTTCTCATGCTCTACAAAACGCCCGCCAAAAAAGGTCGCCAGTTGCCGGTCGCTGTTTTGGTCAAATTGCACACACATTTACAACAATCGTGCTCTACTCAAATGTGTGCCGACTAGGACATACCCTGCACCGAGAGCCGAAATTCCCTCACACACATTGATACATGGTATCTAAATTCTAGCTCTAACAAATGTGTACATATAATTAATAAATATTCTGGTTCCCGAAAACCCACTTGCCAATTTTGGGGCTTCTAGTTCTTACCACTTAGCCACGAACTATTCTTGAAAAACCTAATCATTATATTATATGTCAATTTCCTGGAATGGCTGGACAGACTCAGTTCGTCCTCCCCAATTTGCGGTCAGAGTTGTTCCCTTCAGCCTGTCACATTTGCACTTAGCCATAATACACTTTCCTAACAATTGACTACAGGGTATAAGCATTGTTTGGCTTGTGTAAACGTGAAATTTGCTTAGAATCCGAATCCGAATCCAAATCCAAGTGCGATTGCGATTGCGATTCCGAGATTTGAAAGTGTAGATTGACCCTGAAATTGAATGCTGAACTAACTCGATGTCGCAGTTTCAGACTCGCTTGGAACGCTTGGCTGAGCGTGAAGCTGCACATGTTTGACCCTAATTTGCTATGGCTGCCTGTAGTCTATGCTGGGGTTATTCAACCGCTGATGTCAGCTGATGCGGAAGCAGCTCGGGGCAGCTTGGGGCTGTGGCCGGGCGGGTATCTTGTATCTGTCCGGGTTACCTTGAACCTTGCCGTGCAGGCGGCACAGGTGCGTATCTTGATATATCTCTGCGGTAATTACATTGTTGGCTCGCCGTTTCGCTTTATTTCGGGGAGTGGTTCAACAAATTGGTGTTTATTTATTGGCCATGTCGAATTTGATATTTAATTAATTGGCATTTTGTAGCTGCATATTAAAATGGTAAAACTGAATTGGCTTGGCTGCATTGTTTGGCATGCGTGACCTCTGATTTTGTTGTATGATATATCAATAAATGTGTCTTCTATTTACATGCTATGGTAAATATTGTTTGCATTCCGATCAGTTAACTGACTTAACGAAATGTCAACGGATAAAGACACAATCAATTTGCACACTATGATATTTTTAAATAGTAGATATAAGAAGGAAGCACTCAAGTTAATGTATTAATAAACTGTTCAGTGATTAAAATACAGTCGTTTCTGTAAAGCCTTCAATTCATATTTAAATTTATGAACTAAGACAACGCTTCGAACCACACAAATAAACTTAGCTCAAATACACACAGCTTGACGCAGTGCAGTTCTGTGGCACCAAGGACGGCTTATGCAATTTCAAGTGCACGCAATTGTGGCGCAATGCAAACGACTTTGCACAATGCGGCGTATGAGCAACATCACATCCGCTTTGCCTTTGCTGATGTTAAGCATACGCACCGTGTACTCATGCTCAATGAGTGAAAGTTCGCACTGACCCTACCTTGAACATTAAAGCACTCGTAGATAAAAAAAATGCAACAGTAATAAGAGAGCAACGTGTTTACCTCCAATGTCTGCCGGTTTTTTTTAAATGCACCTGCGACTAGAGTCGAAAGAGAGAGGTTGAGAGAGAGAGAGAGAGAGAGAGAGAGAGAGCGAGAGAGAGCGGGAGCACTCAAACAAGCTTACAGTCGCCAGCTCTATTTCTCTCTGTATCGCAAATCAAATAGATGCGTCAATCCGCCGAATAATCGAATAAAAACTTAAATGAAATATTTATATTTAATATTCTAATCTTTTTGTTTACTGTGTTTCAATTTTTGGTCTTTTCTTAGAATTCTTCGACAAGCCGACGATGAATTACCCTTGCAGAAATACGACTAAGTTTTTTTATTTAAGAAAAATATTAGAATATAAAATATGAATATTTCATCAGATCAGATTCTTCTCATTATGCCTGACTGGGCGAAGAAATACATGATAGAGCATTTGAATTTGCCTGTGGTAGCAAAAGGCACACAATTAAAGAAAACGTCTCTGGGTCGCGCGACAAACGCATGATCTTCTTGTGCGCACATCCACACAACACAAACATATGTATGTATGTATGTTGTAGATCTCGGGATTTGTTGAGAAGCTATGCAGGGAGAATGAGATGCACACAAGTGCGCAAAGCAATGAGTGAGAGCGAAGCACACTCTGCACATGCATACACACATATGTTTTTGGAATTAAAAACTAACATACATATATTAAGAAAAGGCATCAGACGCAGCGACGTTTTGCTCTGAGCGTGTGTGTGTGTGTGTGTGTGTGTGTGTATGTGTTGGTGAGTCCATTCTTATTGCAATAGAAAATCGTTCTGGCGTTCTGGCTCAGTTGTCCGTTGTGCAGCGCAGCGCGCGGTTCGGCGGTCGGTTTAGTTAAACGCATTTGCACGGCTGTGCGAAAACAGCAAAAAACCCGAAACAAATTTCAATTAGTGCACAGAAAGAAACAAAAATCAATGGCATAGGCGAAAATTATTATTATACAATACAGCATATGAAACTGACCTGTGCCCAATTCCCAAATTGTGTCACTGGCGCAATGTTTCTAAAATGCTGCAGTTGCACAAACCACTAAATTAGGCGCACAGTTCGGGTTGCACGCTTAGTTTTAACTCCAATTCAGACTTCCAATCAGTTGCGAGCTGGCAGCAAGCAAAATGGCAACAACTGCTGTGACAACAAAAACAACAGGACTATCAAGTGTCGGCAACACAAACCAATATGTGGAGGACATTGAGTATTTGCGCCAACTGTTTCGAGCTAAGAATTTGGTGAATTTTAGCATTGGCCAAATCGCCTGCAGCGCGGGCAGCAGCAGCGGCGACAACTACATGTCCTTGGTGAAGCGTGTGACAATCCATGATGCGGCGGGCGATAGCCAAATGGGTATGGAAGCTGCCTAAGCTGGAGACGTAGTCAACACTGGCGAATTGCACTCAAGCTGCTTTCAGCCTATTGATTAATTTTGTTGCTCGCGTTGTTGTTGTTGCTGCACATTTAGCGGCGGCGTCAACTGACCTTGTTATACGAATTCTAAATGCAATATACATAGATATACGATATGTAATATATATTCGCTAAAGGTCAACACGCACACTCGCCCACTCATACACACTCACACACACACATGCACATAAACATGCACGGCAACTGAGCGGCTCTCTCGCGCACATACACACACACACTCACAAACATTCTGACTAAGAGCAAACAGTTTCATTCATAAATTTTACTACGCCGCGTAAACAAAAATCAGCTGTTTTGCTTGCAGGAGAGCGCGAGAGAGTTGCATGCGTTGCTCTTCTCGCCGTTTTGTTTTGTTTTTGAATTCGTTTGTTTCTTTTAGCTGCCGCTGCGTCTGCCATCTGCTCAGTCATCATCAAGCGTCAAATTGCTAGCATCTCGCGCCGTCAGCTGTACCGTTGCGGGGAGGCCTTCACAAATGAGATCAATGTTTATCAGCACGTTGTACCGTTACTCTGCCGCTACAGTCAGCAGCCGTTATTTCCGCAATGCCACATAGCCGCACTTGACGATGGAGGCCCGAGTGGCGAGCCCATCATTGTGCTGCAGGACCTCAAAGCACTGGGCTTCCGCATGAAGAATCGCCTGGCAGGTCTAGAGCTGCGACACTGCCTGCTTGTGATGAAGGTAGACGAGCTGCTACACCCCAATGATACACAACATGCACCGATGTACTGTTCATTTTTAGAAACTGGCGCAGTTGCATGCCGCTTCACTGGCCGCACAGCATTTGGAATCGGCGCATTTTGCACAGCAGTGCGCGCACATGACGGAAATTGTATACTGCCCGGATGCGGCGGAGTTCTACTCTCGCATACTGGACACATCGGTGCAGCAGGCGCTAGACAGCCTGAATGCCTCGAATGCGGATGGTAACCTATCGGCGCCCATACGCCTCATCGAGCAGCTGCAACCGAATCTGTTTGATCAGCTACACCGAAGCATAATTGCGGCGGCAGCAACTCCGTTCAGCGTGATCTGCCATGGTGACTTGTGGGTCAACAATCTAATGTTTCGTTCGCAGCCCGAGGAGGTCATCTTTTTTGATCTACAGGCCATGAGACGCACCTCGCCCGTGTTTGATATACTTCATTTTATATACACCAGCACGCGCCGGCAGCTGCGCGATGTGCACACGGATACATTGCTAGCCGCATATGCGGAAGCTCTGCGTAAGGAACTGGGCCAACAGCTGCGTCACACACCGGCGGCCAACCATCTGGTTGAACTGTGCGAAACCTTCTCGCTGCAGCGACTCAGCGAGGACTATGTGCGTCACGTGCATTACGGATTGGCCATATCCATGTGGATATTGCCAGCGGTCACCTTCGATCCCAATAACATACCCGATCTGGATGCCATAAGTGAGCTGAACTTAAATGGAAAAGAGATTAATTGTACGCAGAAGCTGACCACGGAATATCATCTGCGCATCAGGGAGTTGGCGCTGGAGTTCTACGAGCATGGTTATCTGGGCGTGTAAATAATTGTAGTATTAGTTGTATTTTCTTCTTAATAAATATGTTAATTAAGAGAATTTGGAATCTTAAATCTTTATCCTGGTCGGGATCTTTAGCAGTATAACAGGGGCAGTTGCAGCATTTGTAGCTTCCTTTATTACCAATAATTCCTCACTATTGTAACTTAAATAAATTTTGTCGATAAATGTTTGTTTTGTGTTGGCTGGTTGTTGGTTTCTATACTTAAAAAAAGGCCGGGATCTAAAAGCAAAAACAAATAATAAACGTTCAAGCTGGTTGGACGTTTTTATAAAAGCAACATCAACATGGAATTTCATTAGGGGGCTTCAAGTTGTGATCGTGCAGCTGAATTCTCACTTATTGCCACCTCCGCCCCAGCCAAGGAAGCCCTTTACAAAGCCCGTAATGGAGGCACCCTTCTTGCCGGGCGATTCAAGTTTGTCCTCCAGGGATGGCAACTCCAAGTAGTTCATAGCCAGATCGAAAAACAGCGGTTTGCAGGGTATAGGTTCCATATCGGGCGTCAACTTAAAAACATTGGGCGCCCGGGTGTGCAGCGATTGGTCCTCCTTATATTGGGAGAGGCGCTCGTACAGCGGTTTCGTTGTTTTCTGCGATTTAGTTGAAACACCGCTGGCATCCTCGCTATTGTCGTCCTCCAACACGCTGTACGCGTGTGCTGAGAACTTGCTGCCATCGATTGAGGAAACCATTTTCTTTAGCTCCGATTGCAGCTGGAATTCGGCACAGGAGCGGCCCTTGAGCGCATCGTTAGCATAGTTGGATGCGCGTTCGTATAGCGCCACAGCCTCCTTCCACTTTTTCATATCGATCAGGGTGAGCGCAATGTAATAGCAGCGGAAAGCCTTAAATGTAAGCGCCAAGTTGGCCACCTCGCTCTGATATTGAGCATCGTCTTCCATGCCGCTGATTAGCTGCATTTCGGTGACATTCTGCAAGATGATCTCGTATAGACGCGCCAAATCCTGGGGGCGCACGCGTTTACCTTCGCTTTGAGTCTGGGTTCGCTGCTGATTGGGATCAACAAAGTTCAACTTGGCCTGTGAAAATAAATCGACAGTTTAAATGGGAGCGACATTGGGGCTATAGAACCTTACCTGATCAACCAAACATAAATTGCGCTGAAGTGTACGGCTATGGCGTATGTAGCTCAAGTAGGCCAGCAAGTATTGCACACCTGAGACAGTTTGACCTGTGGTCAGGGAACGCAGCTTGGGATCCTGTTTGATCTCGTCCCGCACTGCCTGAATGGCATCCTTGCAATCCATTAATATGCGCTCAATCAGCTCAATCTTGGCATCTAATTTCGTTGTTTTGGCCAACGATTTGTCCAGCTCCTGGGCGCTAAGCAGAAACAGTCGCACCTTCTCGGGGCGCACGGTGACCTTACGACCACGCCAGTCGATCGTCTGCAGACCCTCGCTGCTCTCTGATTTCGTTTGGCTAACAAGCACATCCAGGTTCTCCAAAACACCCTGAGCACGCAGCTCAAGAATTTCATCAATGTTGCCGCCGCTGGCTCCGCCGCTAATATTGTAGGCGCAGTAGCGCAAATTGGGCGTGAACTCATTAACCTTTGCGCGATACAGCTCCTGGTCGTCATCGGGAAGCGCCTTGGCCAAGTTTTCATACACTACCTGGGCGCGTTTTAAATGCTCACCTGCCGTCTTCCACAGCTGCAGCTCAAAGTGCAGCGTGCCGTGCATCCAGGCTACATATGCCTCGCACTCGAGTTTGGTGCGTGCATCGAACGCCTCCGTCTAAAATATAAAGAGAATTTCAATTACTTTTACTCTGATATCAACAAGTAGGCACATTGACTTACATTGCATAGCTCCTGCAACTGAAGGGCATAGAAACAGGCGCGTCGCAGCTTGTTTATCAAGTGAAAGCGCTTTCGTGGCTCTGTGTTGGCTTCTTGTTTCAGCTGCATGGCGTAGGCCCAGGCCCGCTCCGCACTGATAAGCGGTATGTGTATGAAGCGCTCGTCCGCCTTTTTGCCCGTCAGCTGGGAGAGCGTTACATCGCGACGCTTAAAGTGACGCTTGTCGCCCTGGGGATACTTAAGGGCCTTGCGCAGACGACGAATGCGGCGTGTGCAGTAGCCACGATAGCGTTGATAGTCACCATGTCGGAGGCCGTGCTGTTGCTGTGCATCCTTGATCATATGCAGGACTGTAATGTTAACAAAAAGATGACGATTTTACAAATGCCCACTTTTTTAGGTTAATTGTCATCGCAGCTCCCGTGCCGTGGGGTGCTCAGACTCACTTTCGACGGTGAAGATTTTCACTGGTTCCGGCGCAGCCGTGCCACTGTCACTTTTCTCCACACTTTCTGCATTATTCGGATTGGGTTCTTCAACGACCATTATTAATTTATCAATGCCAGCAATACACCTACGTGTAAATATTCACGGATTTGTAAGAAATATACGAATGCACGACGGTCGGGTCGTCAAACGTAAACGTCATCATTGTTTTCGATTCTAGTGGTGGTACTTTATTGAATAAAAGCATCGATATATTACGAAGACAATAATATTAGTCATTTAAGCCATCTGTAAACTAATTGGCAAATAAGTTTTTTACATTTGATTTTTTGAAATAATTTCTTGATCATTTCGAATAAATGTTCATTTATTATATGCTTGTTTTAATTCGCATAATTAATAGTCATTCGCAGTTATCGATGCTTTCGTTTTCTGTTGCCTTTACCCACCACTAACAATTGGTATCGTGCACTCCCTTTGAAACTTGTTGGCTGACAACGCAAGAGCGTGCGTTGACATTCTGCCTGTTTTAAATCAATTTTAGACAAGTTTGCAGGTAAATAATAAGTGAATTAGTGCATAAACATAATAACGGCATATGGCTAGACGAGGCAAATGTCACAGTGCATTTAAATTTGTGCTGCTAGCACTTGTTTTGAGGTTATACTTTCACTGCACGCAACCCGAGCGCCCCATCTGTCGCCCTTCCCCTGCTCCACCCTCGCACTGCACTAGTTTTGTTTTGACGGCCGCTTTTGACATTTGCAACGTTGACAGTGCGCAGATCCGTATGGGAATTGGGAAATTTATAGCTCAACAATCATTTTGCTATTCACAGCATGTCGCGCAGGAAGGAGCACGAGGAGACGGACAAGCAGACGCGTATTGCCATTGTCAGCGATGACAAATGCAAACCGAAGCGCTGTCGGCAGGAGTGCAAGAAGTCCTGTCCAGTGGTGCGCATGGGCAAGCTGTGCATCGAAGTGACGCCCACATCGAAGATAGCCTCGCTGTCCGAGGAGCTTTGCATCGGTTGCGGTATCTGCGTCAAGGTAGGAGGCTCTTGCCATGTGGCCAGACGGAATTACTTGACAAACAGCTGTTAATCGAATTTCTTTACAGAAATGTCCCTTTGAGGCCATTACAATCATCAACTTGCCAAGCAATTTGGATAAGCACACAACGCATCGATATAGCAAAAACTCGTTCAAGCTGCATCGCTTGCCCATTCCTCGACCAGGAGAGGTGCTCGGTTTGGTGGGCCAAAACGGTATTGGCAAGTCGACGGCACTGAAAATTCTTGCTGGCAAGCAGAAACCGAATTTGGGAAAATATGCGAATCCGCCAGACTGGACCGAAATTCTGGCCTATTTCCGTGGCTCCGAGCTGCAGAACTACTTCACTAAGATATTGGAGGACAACCTAAAGGCGCTGGTTAAGCCGCAGTATGTCGATCAGATTCCTAAAGCGGTGCGTGGTGCTGTGGGCGAGCTTCTCGATAAAAAGGACGAACGTGACCTGCAAACGAAAATCTGTAGCATGTTGGACCTATCACACATTCGCGATCGTGAAATTTCCCAGCTGTCTGGTGGAGAACTGCAACGTTTTGCCATTGCCATGGTGTGCATACAGAACGCTGACATCTTCATGTTCGACGAACCGTCCTCGTATCTGGATGTTAAGCAGCGTCTCAACGCTGCGCTGACCATTCGCTCGTTACTGCATCCTACCAAGTACGTGTATTCTTTAGGTATTCACTACGACTTGCTATCTAATTTTCATGTTGACCTCCACAGATTCATCATTGTTGTGGAGCACGATTTATCTGTGCTGGATTACTTGTCAGATTTCATTTGCTGTCTGTATGGCGTGCCCGGCTGCTATGGTGTTGTGACTATGCCTTTCTCGGTGCGTGAAGGCATCAATATTTTCCTGGACGGTTTCGTTCCCACGGAGAATATGCGTTTCCGCACGGAGTCGCTTACTTTCAAGGTATCCGAATCGGCAACGGAGGAGGAGATCAAACGTATGAACCATTACGTTTATCCATCCATGGTGAAAACGTTAGGCAAATTCGAGTTGACCGTTGAGAAGGGTCACTTCAGTGATTCTGAGATCCTGGTATTGCTGGGCGAGAACGGTACGGGCAAGACAACGTTTATTCGCATGCTGGCTGGTAATCTGCAGCCGGACGGTGAAGTTGAGCTGCCCATGCTGAACATCTCGTATAAGCCGCAAAAGATTTCACCTAAATTCCAAAATCATGTCCGTCATTTGCTGCACGACAAGATTCGCGATGCATACGTGCATCCGCAGTTCATTGCGGACGTCATGAAGCCCATGAAAATTGAGGAGATCATGGACCAGGAGGTGCAAAACCTCTCTGGTGGTGAATTGCAACGCGTTGCTCTGGTGCTCTGTTTGGGCAAGCCCGCCGACGTCTACCTTATTGATGAGCCCTCTGCATACTTGGATTCTGAACAGCGTCTGGTCGCTGCCAAGGTGATCAAACGGTGCGTATTGCTGTTTTCATGTTATTTTCTAGGATTTCATTTAAATGATTTCATTTTTCAGATATATTTTGCATGCGAAGAAAACAGGCTTTGTGGTGGAGCACGATTTCATTATGGCCACCTACCTCGCGGATCGAGTCATTGTTATTGAGGGTCAACCCTCGGTGAAGACCACAGCCTACTCGCCGCAGTCTCTGCTCAATGGTATGAATCGATTCCTCGAACTGCTGGGCATTACTTTCCGACGAGATCCCAACAACTTTAGACCGCGCATCAATAAAAATAACTCGGTCAAGGATACGGAACAGAAGCGCTGTGGACAGTTCTTCTTCCTGGAGGATGAGGCTTCGTAATGCATCTAGTTGCGTTTTGATTGACGTCAGCTCTGATAGAGGACTCGGTTTTTTGTCGTTCGGTTTCCATGCTATCGCGTTTTTCTTTCTAAAATTGTCTTTTTATTGCATTTTTTAAACAATGAACACATCTTTCAACATTATTTTTGTTACTTTTGTGCAGAATTACAAGCAATCGAGCATATTGGGAGTTCATAAAAGTGAGTTTTTTACACACCCCGAAAATAAACTAAACACATAAAAACAAATACAATAGGAAAAACAACTTTGTATAGTGAAAATAAATTAATTTAATTTTTAGAAAACGGCAAAACACACCGAGTTTTATTTCAAAATTCTATTGCCAATAATAGCTCCGGCTGCGTTTGGTTTTGGAGCGCAACAGGTGGCCGCGCTGCACTGTGAATGGCAAATTCTTCCAGGGCTGCACAGGCAGCTTTGAAACGCGTGCCATCACTAAATATTTGCTTGAGTATTTGGCAAATGCGCATATTTATTGCACTTAGTTATTAATTAGCATAGTACACTCAGAGTACGCACAATACAAATATGTAAACATTGTAAATTACAAAAGAACTTCTATGATTTCAAATACGATCACAATTCGAAACAAACACAATATTGTATCATACTAGCTATAAACATTTATATAAATAATACATTTATAGATTTACATATATATAAGCAACGGCTTAGTATGTTTTTATATATATATATATTTACTATTCATTTATAAACGCTTTGGAAGCATTTCATGAATGCGATTCAATCAAAATGTACAAAACACCAACTTTTCGAAAAAGGCAAATTTTTGAATTGAACAATGCTAAATTTGATCTGCGGCTTAACCGGATTTTACCATCGTTAAGTACTAAAGTTAGTTAATTTGAAGACTTATTTCACTAAAATTCCATATGAGTAAATGCGTCAAAAATTGACTCAAATTGTTAAACATTTGATGATCTTATGTGCAATTTATAAGAGAGCTTTGTTAAAGTACATTGAGAGAGAGAGTGTGTGAGGAGATCGCATTTAAATTACAATGAGAGAGCCTTAGATTAAAACTTTCATTTAAATAGATTACGTGTTAATATGGACATTTAGTCAAAAATATTGGGATAGTCTGTTTCGATCCAAAATCAGATCAGTTTTTGTGTGTTTTCCTGTTCTTTTCAGCAATTTTCAGAAATGGAACTTTTTGAGACTTATTCGTTAGTGTTGAACTTTATACAAAATAAGATTGAATAATTGAATAAAAATGGCTACAGAAAGTATCAAAAATAATTGTATATGGTGTATATAAATATGGTATTAGAGAGACACAGATACATCTGCGCAATGAGGTAGACTCATGCATTATCCACCTCATTAATGTGTGCCCCGACCTCCAGACTCAGTTCCATGGCCTGTTTGCGCAGCTTGAATGCCTTACGATCAACAAATTATTTAATAGTCAATATGAATATTGATCAATACGAAATAACAGATTTACCTGGCTTCTGAGCTCCTTTTCGCGGGTAACCAATTCCTGTATTTGTGCCATGGTCGTTGCCAAATTGCGTTGATCAATCACCCAGCGTAAATATAGTTCTTTGCATAAATACGAGACATAAATGTTTACAAAACTTTACGTCATGTTATTTTACAAACAACTCACCGCTCCACAATTCCAGGCTAATGGGAGCCACAGAGGGCCAAATAACACTGGCATTTGGCTCGTACAGCGGATTAAGCAATGTCTGCAACACATCTGGTCGATTGAGGTACGACCACAGGCTGGTGGTCCTGGTGTGCACTTGGAGCTCGTGTCGCTCCCGTTCCGAGTCGCACAGAAAGGTGCCATATTGCGAGAAGTAGCTGTGCTCGAAGAGCAATATGAGCAGCTGCGTGCTGAACTCAAAGCTGCAGGGAAACTGCGTGTACAGCTGATAGATACAATCCAGAAACAGGACGAAGGTGGCGCCCGAGTTCTTGTTGCGCATCTGGTGCGGCGTGTAACAGGAATAGCGATGCCTCGATGCGAACGGATGTCCCGCCTGGATCCACTCGCGCTCTATCAAGGCTTGCAAACTGCAGAATCCACGTAATGTATAGTAAATATATGTGATTACAGTGTAAGCCCATTACTTACCCGCGCACAGTGCGACAATCTGGATTCAGAATGATTTGCACCAACGATGTAACTATCAGCGTCGAGTCCAGACCCTTGGCGCCATGCACCAGCACTGGACTGCCCTCCTGGTCCAAGCATTGGGCTACTACGCAGGAGGCATTCAACGAATTGAGCACCAGGCTTAGCCAGCCGCTATTCTCGAGACGCGATAGCCACTTGTCCGTGCTGCAGCCAATATCGTTGCATGCCTCAATCAATTTGGCAAAACTGTCCAGAATGGAGGCCGGATAACTGACATTGCCGATTGCGCGATTGACCTTCTTCCACTGAGAGTAGTGCAAGTCCGTTTCAGTGTTGGACTTGCCCTTGCCCCATGTGTCCACAATGAAGCCCTTTTTACTGCGTCCCAGTACCAGATTGAGTATGGCCTCGTCGGCCCGGCAGCGCTTGATGCCCTGTATGGACAGTGGCTGGGCGCTACGCATCAGAGTAGCCTGCGTGCGGAAAAGGAAGTAAAGTTAATTCAATTAGTCATCCTCAAACAGATGAACAATGTAATTATACTAACGCCGTTTTCATGCCTGTAGCTGAGCAATGGGAATCGTCCGCCGTCTCGAAAGGCAGCGGAGAGCGCGATTTGCTCGTCGCTAATTGCTTTAGGTACAATCAGTGTGGCGCCATATGTGGCACAGACGCCGAAGTCTTTGTTGACGTGGCTAATGCGCCACTCGCATGCGGACACGCTGCTGCCCACCAATGCAGCTGCCGCGTCCAATGCAAAGCCATTCTGCAGCGGATGAGGTATGCTGCTGCTGCTGCTGCTGCCCACAGCTGAAGTTGAGGGCGTGCAAATTGATATATTTGCAACGTTCGGCGATGAGGCACCGCCCATACTCATGCCGCTGATAAGCTGTGCGAATTCCAGCTCTGGTCTGCAATATAAATTTGTTTTAGTGGCAAATTGAATGAATTGCATATATGTATATGTAACACACCTGAACATTGTGAAGCCGTCCTCCAGTATGGAATACATGGGTCTGTAAAAGAATGGATAGTCCAGCTCTGCGTTTTGTATTGCACTGAGCGCCTCCAAGGAGGCAGCCACATTAAAAAAGTCTTTGGCATATTTGATCTCCAGCGATATAATGCGCAAATCCTTGCACTTGAGTGTAATAATGCCGCCCATGACAATGTTCTGGCCCATGCTCGGCTTCCTCTCCACGCAGTCGATGTTCTTGTGCAGCAGCTGGAAAATGCACAATGTAATTCAATTAACTCAGCTAATGGGCGCCACTTTGCGCTTCACTGGACACTTACCCATAGCTCCTGCGTGTTTTCCTGACGTGCGCTGAGCAATAAATGGTGACCCGTTATGCACAGGGTGCCCTCAACTGTTGCATTTGCTGCATTCGCATGCAGGAAGACCCCATCCAATTTGGGTGTTTTTATCAGATCAGCGAACTCCATGTCATCCAGTCGTCCGCCCCTTGACCAACATACAACGCACAAATTATGGCTGACCACCCACCGAGCGGTGATTTTGTTCACGCTAATTAACTTTTTGCATTTTGCCTGTGGTGCTGCCGCAGCGGCTGCTGTGCTGTTGTTGTTGTTGCCACTTGATTGCTTCTTCTTCCACTACCCGCCTTTTTCCTCTTTGTTGAACTGTGAACAGCAGTGTGGGCGTTGCAATATATATATAAAAGCTATGCTTACGTTACACGATTGCTGCACTTGTGGTAGCACTTGCTACACACACCATTAACATTTATTATTAGTTGTGTATTAAATTTTTTGCCAAAATAGCATTTTGTTAAGTTTTGCAAGCGATAACGGTGTGCTGCCACTCACAGGGAAACGCGGACACACCGCGAAGAAAGCACACACAGCCGTCGTCATTTTTGTGCGGGCAACGGCGCAGAAAATGTTAGCCCCAATGCGCGCGCAATTCAAATGAGAAACTATCGGCATAAAAAGCACAAATGATATCTATATAGAAATATTTATTTATACGTAAAAGTTAGTTTCAAAAGGTTTGTTTACAAAAAATAGGGAAGTTTTCCATTTTTGTCTGTTCCATGGCATTGAAACCAACCACAACACTTGTCAGTATTTGTCTTTCAGGCTTATAAGTTAGGGATTCATTTGTTTCCGTTTTTGTTTTTGTATCCTTGGGATTGTGATCGAGTGAAATTGAATTTTCAAACATAATAGAAAATATGTGTATATATATATTAATGCGAGTACGCTTGCTTTGTAGTTCTCGAAATAAAATTGTAAATTGCTTCTCTGTTAATTGTCACAATGCGAATATATATAAATACTTAACAGCTTTAACGTACAATAAATGTATTGCAAATATACGCATCAATCAACCAACACACACTTAAAGAGAGTCTAATCTATATAATTTTGTTTTCTTTTTCGTATAAGATATCACAACTGGATGCCAAAAATTGCCTAAAGCACGAGAATGAGGTAAAAAAAATTGAAATTATATCAAAAGCAGCCAGATAAAACAAAATAATAGAAACAAAACAAAAATCATTGGCGATAAGTTTATTTTGTCGCTAAAAAATATGCTTTTCGATTCTTTGTACCAACAACTTAGGCTACATATAAGTAATAAAATTATACTAAAATTAAATGAATTTCTTAGCAACAAAAAAATGTTTTCTGGTTTTAATTTTGTTTAGGTGCAATATATGTTTTTTGTATGTGTAGATGCACATTATGTAATATTAGAACAAAGAAATGCACAAAGAAATTGGAATGCATAAACAACAAAACGAAAAGTTTTCAAAGAGGAAGACATTTATGCAAATATATAAAAAAAAAAAACAAAACTAAATATGGCAATTGACAAAAAATATGTAAGTTGGTATGTATGTATGTGTATGTGTTTTGTATGTATTATTAAATATAACGATTATGCAATATTGGAAGAGCTTTGGAAACAAATCGGTGGAAGTAAGTTAATAAGCTAACAAACATAATTTTGCATTAACAATTTACTTTTTGTTTTTCATTTGTGTCTTATTAAATTGAACATGAGAAATTAAATGCATTCAATAAATATTTATGTATGTATGTAAAATGGAAGTAAATTTGTTCTTAACAACGCTTGGTTTTTGTTTTGTTTTGTTTGTTTGTTTGTGTGCCAGAGCTTTAAATACATATGTGTAAGTATACGTGTAGCTGTATGACAGTTAAATATATAACTATATGTGTATGCGTGTGTGTGTGTATATGCAAATGTACATATGCTAGCGTATAAGTGTGCAGCTTTTGTATATAACAGTAGCACTCACACTTAGCTCTTGTGTGTGTGTGTGTATCGCCTAGACGAATCTTAAATATCTAATTTACTTTAGATAGTTGCAATTTGTCTACGCCTAGCATAACTGGTTTATGTATTACATATATATATATATATATATATATATATATATATATGTATGTGTAGTGTAGAATTTAAGTATGTTTAGACCTAAGCATACTTTTAGCTATATACAACGGTTTATTTCACTACTACTCGTATGCATTCAGATAGATATATATACGTATATATATACACATATATATATCTAGATATATATATATATATTAATAGATATTTTAGAGCTTAATACAACTTACGAGGTTAGCTTTTAAAAATTCTTAGCAATTTTGGAGTTTTGTTTTTGTTTTTAAGATTTTAGCAGCTTAAATAGTTATCAGTTTTTCTTTGTTTGGGTATTTCGGGTTCACAAAATAAACGTAGAAAATTTGTGTGTCGTTTAAATACAAGAGAACAATAAATAGGCTTAAACATTTAGATTTCGCTTCTCGGTTACCCCGTAAAAATGTGTATAAAAATAGTTAATTAAAAGATCTAAGCTCTACATATTTTAAATCGTACAAAAAAAAAGTAGTTTAAAATTAGCACACGCTTCACGCATCTGTTGCTGTTGGAAGTGTTTCGAAGTACTTGTGTGTGTGTGTGTGTGAGGGGAAGTGAGTGTGTGTGTGTGTGAGTGGGAGTGTGTTTGTGGGGGGCAGTAGTAGAACAGTTATGCGCATTCACCGCGTCAGAACGATCGCTCTGGGTATGGCGAATACGCATAGTCTTGAACGCTAATAAATCGGCGGCGCCGGCTTCGGCAGCACGGCAGCTGTTGTTGCCACAGCGACAGCTGATGCGGGGTTTGCAGCGCTGCTGCTGGGTGGAGCTGCCACAACACTTGATGCCGTCGACGATGGGCTGGACGATGAGGCGTTGCTGCAGCTATTGTTGTTGTTGTTGTTATTATTATTGTGTCGCTGGTTGCGCAGCTGCTGCTGCTGATATTGCTGTTGTTGCTGCTGCTGATGCTGCTGCTGGTGCTGTTGATGCTGCTGCTGCTGCAGTTGCAGTCGCTGATTCTGGTGCTGCAAGTTGTGCATAAAGTAGGCGTTCACATTCATGTTGCTGTTGCTGCTGTTCGTGGTTGCCGGCAGAGCGCGCACATGTTGCATGTGCGGCAGCACGGGCTGCAATTGTTGTTGTTGCTGCTGCTGTTGTTGCTGCTGCTGTTGGTGATGATGCTGCAAGTTCAATTGGCCGGCGGCGCGCATCATGTGCCAGTAGTTGTCATCCCCGATTGGAGCCTGCCGACTGCCGTATTTCAGCTGCCGCGTTATGTCCTGCTTGTAGTCGCGATGATCCCTGTCGATGGCGTAGGCCTTGTCCCGCAGCTTCTCGATGGTCTTCTTGAACTCTACGAATGCCTGCGGCGACTGCTGCTGCAGGGCGCTGGCCAGCGGCACCAGCGGATTGTTTTGTTGCTGTTGTTGCTGGTGCTGTGGCAGGGGCAGGGGCAGGTGCTGATGGTAGGCGAGCGGGTCGAGCAGCGCGTCCAGCAGATTCATATTGGCCATGATGAGCGTGTGTATGCGCTGCAAATCAAGAGCCGGATCGAGCGCGGTTACCAAATCCATTTGAAAGTAGTCCATTTCCTTGGCGGAGACATTCTTGCAGCCGGGCGCATTCTCATCGGAGCGGCCGCAGCAGCTGTAGAAGCCGCTGATAAACGCTGAGGGATGAAAGTATTGCATCCGGATGGAGTTCATTAGGCAGATCTTGTGTAGTAGGTCGAACCATTCGCGCTCCTCGACGCAGTTCGTCGTTTGTACAATAAGCGGGCGGTCTTTGTGCACGATCTGCGAATGGAATGAATGAATACAAAAAGCCGTGTAAATTATTTGCGTTCTTTTCACTTTCAGCCTATAAAATAAACATTTGCCCAACAATTGCGCGCACAGTGAAACCGCCGCAAACGACGTTTCACACGGGCAAAAATCCCACGCGTGCCTCCAACGTAACCGAATTCTTTGCTTTGACGCGCGACTTCTTTAAAGGTTTTGAAATTTCCCTTTTTGTCGTCGCAAAACAGAAATGAAGCAGAATAACAATGGTTGGTTTAGTTGGAAACTACAGTTACCAGCACAGCTGGAACAGCGTTGCCAACTCATTTTCATAATAATGTTAATTATTTTTAATTGCAATCTTGTCGTTTGCATAGACGCAACGCGTCTAGATGGAAATACAATTCGTAAGTGAAAGTTTATGCTGCCCTTTTTGCAATTACAGCTAATTTTGTTTCCACTGAAAGTAGACGAGCAGCAAAGTTAAATCGCATTATCCATTGCGACGCACTTTAGGTATCGATACCTGAAACAACCTACTAACAACAGTTGCCAATTTAAATATTTTTTACCAAAACTTAAAAGAAAATTATTTGGAAAACGTAAATCACAAAAAATTTAAGATAATTGCTTAACGGGATATTTAATACCAAGACGAACATACTTTTATTTCGGAAAAGAGGAAAATTACCCTTTTGCCGCAAAAATGTCCAGTGTACCATTGAAAAGTACCTGTTTTGGTACATTTGTCATGCATGTGAAAACCGAGCAGACGCACACATACACATGCACATGCACTCAATTCATTTGCATGTGGAATGGAACGAACTGTGTGGGCTGCGTGCGCCTAATTTATTTATGAAAATGCATTTTTAAACTTGTCAATTTCCGGTATTATGTATTGACATTTAAAATGTGCGCTTGAATGGGTATATTAGCTGCGAGCAGAGATGTGACTAAGCCGTGCATATTCTGGCAAGGCATACAGAGTATGTACGAATTATTCGAATTAACAGATCTGTTAAGCTAGCATGTATGTGTATATGTATGTACCTTGTACCTGTATATGTATGAGTGTTTCCCTCCATTTTTTTTTCTATTGGAAACTAGGCGGCGTGTCTGTTCTATTTAGATTATAAATGCTTGGTATGCTGTTCCACTTACTAAACAACCACACCAGGCCAGTACCAGACTTATCGATAGATTGTGATCTTTGGTTGTAACTCACCTTGAAGCAGTTTTGCATTTTGAAGCTTTTGTCTTTCAATTGCTCGACGCTTCCGATTTCCTCAAGCGGTATATCACAGATGGGTTGTTTGCCCTTCGACTTGGCATAGCTTAGCGAGTGCGTTGTCAGGCGAAAGTAACGTTGCTTAAATTGGCGTCCAAAGCGTTTGCGGCATGTCGGATATTTGGTCATCATGCTGTGCGCCCAGTTTGGGGGGAGAGACAGAGACAGAGAGAGCAAGGGGAGAGACACACATAGCAAAGAAAGAAAGAGAACGAAAACAAATGAGCAAATGTTATGCATTTAATGCTTTTAATATTGTTTGCAATTCAAAAGTAACAAACAAACAACTAAACAAACTAACTATAAAAGAGTACCAAAATTAAAAGCAAATTTTCTCTTACCCCTCGCTAGACGTTAGTATTATATTTGTATGTGCA